CAGAATAGTCTGTCCTGTATAAGTAAGTTGAAGAAAAAGGAACTAGTATTTGTTAAGCAAGGGAGGTAAGTGTCGAATTAACAGGCAATCTTTTGATCCAAAATTTCTCCAATGTTAAAAGATGGAAGAATGCTTTCATGGACGAATCAGCCATCATTTCTAGAAATTCTTCCTGAACTTCTCCTGGTAATTGTGATACATCGACAACAAATTGATGTCTTGTCATGTGCCATAGTGGTGACTGATATGATGATGTCCCGATAGTATCGGTGAAATTCGTCTTCCAGCGCTTGCAAATGAGTTTTTTGTCAGCTTTTAAACTTGCGTCCAGTATGTTATTTTTAATTGGTTCGAACAGCCGAGAACAAGATATAACATTGTCAGAAGACACTTTTTAATTCCAAAGTTGAAGCTTTGATATGAACCCCTGAATATAATCAGAATTGCTTTGTTGTTTCTGCCCTGAAGTTTAGCTCATTCAAGGAGTCAAATATGTCAGTTAAATAAGCCCACCTCCATTGAAATGTGTCATCTTTGAACATTATCAAGAAATTGTGCTTTTCTTTGAACTCAAGAAAAATAATTAGGTACCTCTTCTTTCAATTCATAAAGGCAAGCCAACCTGTTACCTTTGGGTAGCCAGCGTACTTCTGTATGGCACAGAAGAACGTTGTGATCAGAATCGATATTCTCGCAAAGTAAAGTGAATAACCGACAGTTCAAAGCGCTGCTCTTGATGTAGCTTACAATCCTTATAGCCGAGTCCAAATTCTGGCGTAATTTCTGTGGCAATGTTTTGGAAGCCGAAGCTTGCCGATGAATAACAATGTGTACTGGCCATTGCGGGACTTTTTTCCTTGAGCTTTTTAGCTAAGCCCGATCGTACACCTATCATTGCAGGTGCGCCATCTTCGCAAAGTCCAATGAGTTTCTTCCAATCCAAATCATTTTTAACGATGTCGGTGGATTCATCGCAACTAATGGCAAAAAATGGCGATAATTTTACTTTGTTAATTATTTGTGGCCTCATGTCTGCTGCAGTGTCATCGATTCTAAGCTTGACTGTGTTCTTCGAAAGAGGAATAGACTTCATCTTTTGCTCTGCATCTTCTCCTAAAATTATCTGCGTGGCTTTTAGGACACATGGTTTTATTAATTCTTCACCGACAGTATGAGGTTTCTTTTGCTTTGCTATCATAAAAGCTGTTTCAAATGAAGCTTTGAGATGCTACGATACACCTGTGTGATAAATTCCCGATTTATCTAGTCTCATCCGCTTGACTGATTCTGCTTTAGAAGAAAAAAACTGACCATGTCGAACTTCGTACATCAAAACTGGGCGACACGACCGCTCCTTTGTTCATAGGGCTCCGAGATCGTGAAACAATCTGCTTGAGGAGGCTTTTCCTAGTTCTAGTAACCTAAGGCAATTCAAGAATCGGATTAACAAAGTCTCTTTAAGCACCGCGGTGCCCCGGTATTTAGACTTCTGCCTACGCGGCTGCGTCGGTACAAAAAGATTATCAATTTTTAGAAATAGATGGTTTTTTAATTTTTTAAAAGTAGGAGACCCTACCTTTGGGATTATTCTCGTATCTCTATTGGGGATAACCGTAGGAAGGTTTTTAGAGAAACCTCACATGACATATTTAACCGTATTCACAGATAGTTTTGCTACTTTGAGGAGTATACAGGAGAAAATGCTCTTTGTATTGCTGCTTCTAACGTTTGTTTCATTCTATTCACAGCTAACTTCGCTATCATCAACAGTGAGCTGCACTATGGCTGGCCATCTCCTTTTATCCCGGTTCTTGAAAGTGGGAACTATACAGTAACCATAAGCAGTGAGATGGGATCATGGCTTACTGTGACTCATCCTATTGGTTCTATGTTTGGCGCCATGTTTGCAGGTATGATTGAGTCATTATAACCGAACTGTGTAAGGATGTTTCTATTGTCACCAACAAATAATTGGCCAAAGCTGGATACATCTCAACTAGTATGACGAAAATGCAGAAACGCCTTCACCCCTTCTGACCAAAGCTGAAGAGGCAGTAGGTGCCACTCTTAAAACGCTACCAGCAAAGAAAGCACAACCCGTAGCTCAGCGGGAATACCATTTATTTACCAAGATTAACGGCAGTAACGTACTACTAATTAAAGATTCCATTCTGTGGGAACTTGAGTAATTGACAGACTCATTTGAAGTGTAAAACATGGTATCGCTAATCCGAAAATTTATATTCCTATAAACACGCAACGAACTGCAAAAATTTTATATTTCTAGTAATGCTTTCATCCCTTAGCAGACTGATAATCTTAAAGCAATGAAGTTAGATTTAGTAGTACCTAGTAAAACTAACAAGAGGCCTTGGACTAATAATTATTATCCTGAACTGAAAATTGCAAATGACGCCTTATATGTTTCTAAGAAATCTCTCTATGGACTGAGACTTGCGCTTTCTGAGACTTTCTTCGTTTGAAAAAGCAAGACACCACTTGAGAGGTGACTTTATAGTGACAAGCTCGCATGATTGATAAAATGATGCTCTTCTGTAGGGTTGTCAGATAAGTTGTGCAGCTTTTTACAACTCGGCAAGTCATTACAGAAGTCCCATAGTCTAGCATATGCTTAATAACCTGCAGATCTGTTTGCTTTGAGTAGTCATTTTTCTTATGCACAACATTTAATCAAAGTGGATAAGTAAAAATGTACCTGAAAAGGCCGAGTTTTTCAAATGACCAAATCCATGTCTTTGCTTTACGTTTCGTCTCTCCCCAGGCCTGGACCCAAGACCTATACCGCACTAATGAGTTGCTAATGAGCACGAAACAGCGCTGTCTGCGGTTGGTCATGGTTAGAGTGTTTGATTCTGCTGCTGTCTCATTGATGGCGATATGTTATTCAATTCAATTTGGCCTATTTTAACTGGGTATATTAAGGCATTACTTAGTGTATTCTACCGGAGATTGCTTAATTAAAATAGGCACTCGAAAGGCTAAAAATGCTTTGGAACTACGATATCTATGAGACAGTAGCAAAAAGAAACACTCTTAAGGTGGTACATCACGTTTTTCAAACTCATTATAATCTAAGTAATATCTACTTTATGATAATAGTATGGACTAGTATGATACAATAGTTCAGATTTTAGCCATAGTTTTAAAAATCCTCAAAACTTCGTGTCTGGGGCTTTGTCAATTTCTTGTCAATACTTGCTCGAAAAGTACCAATGCTACTTTACTCAATTTTTGTATTTAGGATTCGCTCGACAATATTCAGGTCTTTATGGAGGTATTTTCTGAAAATTTATTTGAAAAAACGTTGGTTACACTAGCTGCAGCACTGTTTATTTTTTGCTGTGACTGCCGTCATTTAGTCGTGTGATGATTGGTATGTTCTCAAGCTGCAAGATGAAAAAATTATATTCTCAATAGTAGGTGAGTACATCATGACCAACCGTTAATACATGACGTCAGCTACGAATCCCGCTGATCCGGTCCATTTAGAGGGAGATGACATACGTCGAATGCGTGTTAGCAGTCTACTTCCAAACTGTGACATAACAAAATTTATAGATGCATAACTATTTACGTATACAGGGTGTCCACAAACTTAAGGAGAAGGTAGGCTTTGGATTGACCTCCCAAATAAGAAAATCCTACCTATATAAAAGTGTCACCGTTTTTGAGATATTGATTTTTTTCTTAAATTTAAAAAAAACGAACCTTTTCATCTGTGGTCTTTAGCTGCATGTACAAATAAGGTTATGCTTTGTTCACTTTTTCTATAAAATACTTCTAGATAGTTGCTTTATCATAGACGCGTTCAGCGGGCTCAGCTCGTATGACATCTTTGATTATCCATAAAAATACAAATCTGATATTTGCTTATGGCTTTGGTAATGGAAGTGAATTTCCTTGTCGTTACTTTCGACCTTGCCGCATGCGGCTCTTTTGATGTCAAGTTGCGGCTCTCCAGTTCATAGTAAATCCTCTTAACACAAATATAAATAAAATCAACATTTAGCCATTTGGAATTAGAGCTGGTTCGTTTCAAATGCAATTGCTGGTCTTTGTAAATTGTAACTTTTGGCTCTTCCGTCCCAAAAGGTTTTCTATCCCTCCGCGTTCGACAGTCAGAGACCGTCTACCACCTATGGACAATCACCACATCCATAGCCAAGAGAAAAATTTCTCATGGGACGGGATTCGAACCCGCACAGCGCACGGCGACTGATCAGGAGACCGAAGAGTCTACTACTGCGGCCACCGCTGCTGCCTGCCTACCTCGATTATGTTAGAAAAAATTCGAAGGCTACATGGAATATACTCAGATGTTTGAATATCGTTGAAGATAACTCCATAAGTCTACCTCCACATCTTCAGAATCTCGATGCACTAAATATTGCTTTTTTAAACGTACCTCCAACAAAACCTTAACTCAATCAAACCTTTTAGCCAAATATGAAAACGTCAAGAATAATGGTACTTTTCTATTCAGGACAGTTCCACCTGCCATTGTAGAGAAATTTATCTATCGCATCAAAAGTCATGCAGTCATGCAAAAATCTTGGTATCTGGTTTGACTGCAAGCTATCTCTGGTACATAAGACCTTTCTCCTTAAAGCGCCATATTATCTTTATACAAGACTATCCCTCCTCCGTCAGTACGATCAAATATCATCTAGGAATAAACGCATCTTACTCATCCCGCGGAACCCGACAGCATTGTTCACTCGTAGTTGTTCGTACTGGGCGAACTACATAACTGCTTGTCAAGTGAGTATAAAGAATACTCGTATAGCCTAAGCAACTTTAAGAAAAGGTTAAAGATGACCAATCAGATGGCTAGAGTTTAACTTTATGCAGATCCACAGGTAATTGATTGTTTCCTTATTTTGAGAAGTATAATATTTTAAGCTTTCCTTTTTTTTGGTGGTCAATGTTGTTAAATGTTCCATTTAAATTTTGATCTTTTTTTCGTTATTATATTATTGCTTATTAATTGTGTCAATGTCTTTAGATCTGGTGGAAAAACAGCGTATCCTGAAACTCTTCCTTTTTGTCACTATTTTGTTTTATTCCTATTATTTGCCAGCACAAACGTAGACCGTTCTAGCAACGTCGCGTTATGGCACAATGACGGATAGTTCGCGTTCGGAGAACGAGCAAAACGATATTGATGGCTAAAAATTCGAGCCATTTGACTTTTTTAAGCAAAAGCCCCTAGAGTTTTACGCCAGCGGGATAATAATTCTACCAAAACGTTGGAATGAAGTTATACATAGCCAGTATGGTATTGATTGAATAAATGTGTCAAATAGGTTCAAAATCAGCACAACTTTTTCAACACCCAATGCACTTAATTCAAGGTAATATTAGTTATTACATGGTACCGATCTCTTGAATTTGGTTTAAAATATACTGCTTCTGGAAACAGTTTGAAGAAGTTTCATAGACATGGACTAAAATAGCATGATATCAAATAATGAAAATTTCTTGAAACAAGATCTAGCCTCTTCAGCCAAGTGTCCTTTTTATTTGCTTGTTTCACGAAACAGTTGTCTGTTTCCAGGTATTGTGTAGTACCAACTCCACAGTTACTGGATGACCCGAGACAGCGGCGGATCTTTTTCTCAAATCCCACTGTTGGTTGCCCGTACGAAAACTCCAGATCCGCCACTGAGTATGGAGACTTGGCCCACTATTGGTTTTCAAACTATTACCTATAGTGTGGTAATGGAAATATGAAGATGAACATATCAAAATTAGTTCTTAAATATTCTTACTCTAACTTTAATTTTAGCTTCGATAGTCGACATAATTGGAAGAAAGAAACTAGTGGTACTATCTTCAATACCAGCCATAGCGAATTGGTTGGTTCTGGGCTTAGCTAGCGTACCCAGCATTTTCTTCGTAGGAAGATTCATGTCTGGATTCCTTGATGGTATATCCTTCACGGTGGTTCCTATGTATGTTGGGGAAATCTCAGAGCCTCAAATCAGAGGGCTACTGTCTTCAGCAATACCTACAACTACGGTTATCGGATTCCTCATCATCAACAGTTTAGGTATGTTTCATGACTCTTTCATATCAAGATTAGTGATATAAAATTACCAATGTTTTATAACTAGGTACTAATGTTAGACAGGTTTTGGTAATATTGTCATAACAAGTAATGGTTATTGATTTTTCATTGAGCATTCATGTAGCGTGTAGTAGCAGAACACTGATCAATCTATTTGCTCAGTTTGGAACTAATTGTGGAATATCTCAGGCTAGACTTTTTTGATTGTGATATTATGGAAATTAGAACTAAAATATACGAGTTGGTTATATGAAATTTTTTGTTATTAACGTCAATACTTGACCAAAATTATAGTAAAGCAGCATCTATCAGATGACTCGAAGCCACACAGAGCTCTAAAAACGTGTCCACATACCTGTCTTGTTCCAAAAATATTACCAATGTTACCGAACAGCCTATGTGACGCAAGTTTTGAAAAAAATGTAACAACCTCCTCAAAATCTACCAACCAAACATACGGTGCTAAAACCCCGTAACAAATTCACATTTTCACCACTAATCAAGATATAGCAATAAAGAATCATATAACTAGCATATCCCATTATGAAGCGAGCCTAGACAGTGGAAAAACATATGGGGCAGTAACAATATTGAACAGGATGTATAGTGATAGAACAACTATGAAAAAAGAAGCAGACTGATAACTTATTTTAAACAATATTTCCAGGTGCCTATCTTCCACTAGATACCGTATCTTATATCTGTACCATCATACCAGTCCTCCTTTTAGTGACATTTAGCTGGATGCCAGAGAGTCCATACTACTTCCTTATCAGAGGAAACATCGATGCAGCAAAAAGAAGTTTACAACAACTCAGAGGCACTAAAGATGTCAACGATGAGTTCCAACGAATTGCTGAAGCTGTAAGGGCAGAACAGGAGAACAAAGGATCGTTCTTCGATTTGTTTACTGTGAAGAGCAACAGGAAGGCGGTTACTGTTACATTAGGTTAGTTTGCTCAAGAAATAAGATATGTTTGATCACTCCGAGTTCGAATATAGGCGAACGTATTAACTTGCTTTGCTTGCGACTAGAGAAAAATGGTTTCCATTTGAATGAGTCTCTATAATGTGCTACCGCGTCAAGATCCTTTGCTCTATAGAATGTTTTCGTGGACAAGTACTGCACTTTTTTGCCTTTATAATATACACGTATCGTGAATATCTGCGTAACATGAAATATTTTTTATTTTCCAGGTCTTTTCACCATTCAGCAATTCAGCGGCAGATCCGTCATCATTTTCTACTGCAAGACGATCTTCGAGCAATCCCACACCGTCATTTCTGCAGAAACAGCCACCATACTCTACTTTGCAGTGATGTTGTTTTTTTCTGTCGTCACTTCCATCGTAGTAGACTTCTTTGGCAGAAGACCTATGCTAATTCTGTCCGTTAGCTGTACTGCCATGGCGCTGCTAACTAACTCCGTTTTCCTGTATCTAACAAACTGCACAAATGTGGACACCTCCCAGCTCACTTTTATGCCCATTGTGGCTCTCATAGGTTTTGTAGTCACATTCAGTTTAGGTCTTCAGACCATTCCGCATCTCATTATGGGTGAGATCTTTGCTACTAGTGTTAAAGCATTTGCTCTTTGCCTTATGGACATCTACAATAGCATTGTTGAGACTATAAGCTCGAAATATTTCCATTGGACCAACGATACATGGGGTCTTCATGTTCCTTTCTTTTCATTCTTTACATGCTGTATCTTAGGTTTGTTCTTTGTTATATTTTATGTGCCAGAGACCAAGGGCAAGACATTGGAGGCTATTCAGGATGATTTGAAGGAGAGGGACAGGGTTCCAGGTAGCAAGAAAAACAGTACACTTGATAAACCAAGATTATCTCACGATGGGCATTAGCACATTGAATGTTTAGACTTATTATTAAGTGCGCTGAGATTAAGACCGCTTTCTTCGTTCTATCCTCCATAGCAACTATAATATATATATATATATATATATATATATGGACACTTCCCACCTTATGGTCACATTCAGTTTGGTTCTTTAGGCCATTTTGCTTTTCATCGTGGCTAAAATCTTCGCTACTAGTGCCGAAGGTCTTTACCTTATGGGCATCCACAATAGTATTGTTGATACTATAACCTCGAGATATTTCCATTGGACCAACGATACATTGGGTCCCAGTGGTACTCCAACTCGTTCAAGTATTGTCATCAATTGGAATCTTATAAATATGGTAATTTGATTTTTTCGCCAACTACTTAAAATAATTACTTGATATTCGAAATGTTTCTTAATTTTATTGTATCTTTGCTGTATAATACCCAAAGACTAAATTAAAAAGTAGTTGTAGTTTGTACAAAAAACTTCTCTCTACCAGAGGAGTATCCGAGACTTGTTTGAAGTTGCATTTTATTTTTCTAAGTTTACATTTAAGCTCGCCTGTACGAGATTTTTGTACGTACTATGTATTGTGATAAAAATAGAATATATGAAAATAATCAGGCTTTTTACTAGTACAGAATCCCAGTATCTTCATCAATTCCCTCAATACGACTTACACCTTACTTTCTATTACTCATTTTCGTTCATTTATCATTTGAGATATAAATATGAAATTTCTCGATCTGTACAGATAACGCGAGCAAAATGGAAACACAAAACGCACTTTATGTCGCGCTGCAGGTCTCAAGGCGATTTGTTCCGTTAAACGTCCCCTCCTTTGACTACTGAAAACACCTCCTCAAGTATGTTGACTTCTCCTTCAACGCCGTCATCAATCCATAAAGGATTAAGTTCAGCGCAAGCTCGATCCTATGAGAAAAAAGTTCGTTAGGAACAAGTATAACAGAGAAATTAAACAGGGTCATACAATCCAGTTCATCGACATTCTTTCCCTGCCCTACCTGTAGTACTGGCAACGCCGCCTCTTCCTAAAACCTAACATCATGGCGCGTCAGACGCCACGCGGCATCGCGGCACTGCGCCTGTAATACTAGGACACTTCTTAAGTCTAGCACGCCCGCCGGTGAACACAGAGGACAGAAGTAGGGTCGCGTTTCGAACCCCCTTCTCTATCATTTTTAGTTTTAAGCGCAATGTACGAGAAATCTATGATATGTAAAATATGTCAAATAGGTGCGTAGAATTTCCGAGGTTGGGAGCATTTAAATGAACTAACATCAATAAATTGAGTTATACCCCCCTTGCAACCCTCAATTTTAACCAGTAAATGTTCTTCTGAAAATGGTCAGGAGGCTTTGAAACATAAAAAGGTGAAGTTTGAGTAGTTTCAATTTTTTGTTTTTTGTCCCGTAGCGCACCGTCACTAGACTTTTATTTCACAGCCTTTCGTTCTCGTCCTTTGTAATGATCTTTTGTGAAAATGTTATTTTAATCCGAGCGGTAATTTCCAAGTTATAGACGGGCCAAGGATTAGCGGTTAGACAGATAGATCGACAGAGAGACCGACGAAAATAAGCGACATGGTCTTTCATGACATACGAGTACGTCAAATAAAATTCAAAAAACGTATTATCTCATTTTTGAAATTTATCGTGATTACAATAATTCTACTTTTGTTATGCCTTCGCTCGTTGCCAACTTTAAAACCTAGAGCGTGATGATGATCGCCAATAAGCGTGAAACAGCGCTGTACACAGTTACTCTTCGATCAAGTAGAGACAAAAATACTGTTGAAATATGTTTATCAGAGGCTCTTGGATCCGTGAGCTAGAAAAACGAATGAAAACTGTAGGAGAATGTAATATGAAGATCTATTTCAAAACTTTGGGATTTTTTGTTGGAAATAGGGGAAACCCAGGCAAAGCGAATACTCCTTTTACGTCCAAACCACAAATCGACCAATGCAAAAATGCATATAGCTAGAGTGAAGTGGGGTAATATGGCACCTTGGGTAATACCCCGCAGTTCAATATTATCGTCATAAATCGGTAGAGTGAATAGGTGTAGGCGTCAAGTGCACGTTGTTCTACTGTTTTCTTTGCTAAAAGCATCTAAGTCGAGATTTAACAGTGTTTGCTGCGAAAAATTGCGAAAATACAAGGTAAGTGCATTCTTCAAATTATTTTGTGATAAAATTTTGGCGATGTGAAGGCAGTTGTAAGTCTTTTGTTGCAATTCCCAGAAGGGACATAAGAATCTACGGTACACAACCTAACTTTTTATGCCGCGTATGATAACCAGGTTTCACCAGACATGAGTTTACAATTTACTAAATCTGGAAGACACACTTTGGGGTAATACGAGGGATGTCTTTTAAATTTTGCATATAGAAACATAGTAGGCCGCGCGGATCGAACCTCAGTGCTGAATCTTAACCTCACTCTTTAGTAAACTTAAATTCGAAGTTTCACAACAATACGTGCAGTGTTCTCACTACAGTGAATTTTTAAGTGTCACCAAGTCATTAGAAAAATGAAACTCAACTCGGAGACAATTATCGCAACAAGAATGCCTTGCTGAGTTACTGTCTGTTTTCGGCAACGAAGCGCCACATCAGTCGACAATTTTCCGTTGGTATGGAGAATTCAAACGTGGACGGGTGAGTCTTAGCGACGAACCCAATGTGGGTGCACCAAAAACGGCAGTCACCCAGGAAAACGTCGATGCTGTGCGCAATCTCAATATTGAAGATAGGCATGTGACATATCGTGACATTGAGGCGTCCTTGAAGATCTCAAAGATCTCAATTCAAAAAAATTTACATGAAGGATTAGGAGTAAGAAAATTAGTTTCTCGTTGGATACCCCACCTGTTGACTGAATAGCAGAAATCAGCCAGGGTTAATTGGTGTCAAAAAATGCTTGACCGTCCCAATTTCCGGAAACTCAGAAAATGTGTACACATTGTTAGTGGTGATGAATCGTGGATTTACTGTTATGAACCAGAAAATAAACGACAGTCGGCTGTTTGGGTGTTCCAACGTGAAGAAAAGCCAACAAAAGTCATCCGTTCTCGAAGTGTTTCGAAAAAGATGGTCGCGACATTTGTAAACGTGGAATTATTGGACCATCCTGCATATAGTCCCGATCTAAGTCCTAACGATTTCTTTACTTTCGCGAAAATTAATAACAGACGGCGTGGTCAAAGGTTCCAGTCACCAGAAGAAGCAGTCATTTAAAACTACCTACCGTGTTGTTTTATTTCCATACGCAAAACTTAAAAGATATCCCTCGTATGGCATAATAGTGTAGCATATAACGCCAACATGTGGCATATTATTCCAATATGTGAAATTCATACATTTTAAACATTCAGAGTAAAGAAGATGCCACGAAATTACACCAAGAAAAATTTGAGGACCATGTGGTCAGCAGAAGATCTGGCAAATGCAATATCAGATGATAGAAATAGTCGTGGTTCAGTAAGGCAAATTAGTCGAACATATTATGTGCCTGTAAGAATCTTGATGAGGAGAATACAATCAGAAATCGCAAACAAGGTTAAGTGGGCAAATGGAGAAGATGGGTTTTGCGAAAGCATCTGTAAACGTAAACAAGATTGCGTACTCATTTGCTGCTCATAGGTAGTAGCAGCAAAATGAGAGAAAAAAGAAGCCAAAGGAAAAAAATATCTGTGAAACTGATGAAAGCCCAACAACCAATGAAAAAACGGATGACAAACAAAAACGCAATAGGAAAAGGTGGAAAATAACAAAAAGCTTGCCAAAGGGAAAAGTCGTAGGCGTGCCCCGGAAGTAGTTACACAGGAAAGTGGTGAATCAGAAATAGAAGTAGACCATTCTGAAATTTGTGCAGAATGCGGTGGATATTATTTCGACAAAAAGGTCCCACATGCGATTGGATACAATGTGCGAGTTGTTCAGGTGTTCTGCGCAAGATCTGACTTATTCTGCGAGGATCAACAGCTGGCAAACGATATTAAATGGAACAATTGAATATTTATTTTTAATTTCAGCTTAGGATTATTTTTGTTATGTACATATACTATGTAATATATTTCAACTTATTTCAGGTTTGGTTGATTTCAGATTAGGTTTATTAATTTATTGATATATTAAAGAACATTTCTTCAAAAATATATTTGTTTATGTTTTTCTTTTCAGTGTCCCATGCCATAATACCCTAAGGTTAGGGAAATATGGTAATTTGTCATTATTCGAGAGTTTTGTTTCCTATTAGACCTATAGTCAAACTAGCCGAAAAACGGATACACAAAACTATACCTCGTACCGTATAGTCACTCTAGTTCCATTGCAAGGCTGAATGGACAGAGTATTGATTTATGGTTCATTAAAAAACAAGTTTCCATAATACCCCATCTTACTCAATATTCGTTCAACCATGTCCAACAATTAACAATTCCACTTGCTTGTATGTTTACAACAAAATGTGTTTTTTTCAACAAACCGCCTGCAGTAAGCAGGCGGTATACCAATAAATGGGAATTGCTTAGTCTAAACAGCAATTTTTTCCATTTCCGTTTACGATTTTTCTGGTCTTCCAAACTTCTATTCAGTTCTTTGATCCGGAAGAACAACCTTGACCGGAGAAATAGTTTCATAGCTTTTTGAGTGCAGTCAATGTTGCTGCTCTTCAACTGAAGTTCGTCTATAAAATTTTGCTTTTCTGCCACTATACCGTCCCCATTGAATGTAGTAAACACCTTATTAGGCTTTTCAATTTGATTCATGAAAGCTGTGGAAGGTTTTGATAATCCACTCTCACTAAGATGGTCTATCCAGGAATAAGTTTGATTTGAGGAACTTTTCAACCTCTCATCCTGCAATTTATGGCATACAAAGCCGGCTAAATTTTTCAGCCCATCATACTCGAGCTCATCTATTTCTTTCAGTAAAACTTCCTCATTATAGTCAGCTGATACTTCAGGTGCATTTGTTTATTCGCTAATGATGCGGTTAGTGGAATGTCAGGAGTATCCTCTTCCTTTACGCTGCAATACTCTGAGTACGTGCCTTCTTTTCACCTCAAAATATATGACCATATTCTATACTTGAACTCTAGGGGATAAGTTGAGCCCTTTGCACTTTTTCGTAAGCACTTTTCCGCTTTTCCCCAACAACAGATGTAGATGGTCCAGGAGATGATAGATACTTGGGTAAATTTTCCATAGAGCGCGATATCTTTTAGGGGTGTAACCCAAAGGGGTATGGTTCAAATGGACCTTAAAGGCACTTTCACATTGACTTTGATTTTTCTTTTTGAATGATGTAGCCATTTTTTGCTAAGGTTTGGGTCTTGAGGATAGCTGTGGAACTTCATGTCTTTGTAAGGATTCCCTTTAGATTGGTTGTCGGAATTACATCCCACAACCGCACACCGCATTTTTATCAATTTACTAACATCACAGGGTATATGAAGTATGTATAACTAATACAACAAGTCACAAAGCCACCAAAAATCACCAACAAATCCCACTTATAGTATTAACCACGAACCACGATACACGTGAACTGCAGTAACGTTACGACAACCTGTCGCTGGTTTCTACGAGCCCACAACTGGGTGACGTCACGAAGCTCCGCCCACATGCGCAACATCCTATCTTCAGTGTATGTGTATCGGGAGCGTTCAGCGTTCAGTGTTGAAACCGCGTTCGTCCGGTCAATTCCTGTTACGAGTTCTAACACAGACAGGAGGCAATCATGAACACTGCGTTCCATTTTACGAAGATTACTTGTAGGTGAAACATGTATTTCGATAGTGACACATACTGCATTATGGCATCATACTATCCATTTACGCCTGATCGCAGTGGTGCTATAACTCTTATCAACTAATTTGAAGTAAACACGCTTTTTGAAACACTTTTTCTAATCGAATGCGAAAGCGTTTGCATTTTTGAAAGAAAAAACAAACAAATAACATTACAACGTAACGTTTAATTTTCACGCATAAAATTAAAAATTAAATATCATATTCACTTATTCTGTCAACCGCTGTTTCAAAACCCGGCGTCGCCAATCGCAGTTTATACAAGTTTCGCCAAGTCACACCATGAAATCCGCGCGCACCCCCCCCCCCGCGCTCCGCTTACTATTCATCACAGAAAACAATTGTCTACCTACCAGATAAGGATGAGCATCTGTGACATTCATTCCCACAAACTTGCGAAAAATTTGACGTTTTGATGTACATGTTTTGTTGAGAAATCTGAGTGTGTCAAATTATTGTGTCTCACTGTTAAAAGGTAAGTTTGTGTATTTACAAACTTCAGTTACCATTTTTATTTAATTTACCAAATTGTTGATTGAGTGGAGACGCGTTCGGCCATTGAGACTTTTTTACCACATCACAATCAAACCAACGTGGTGAAATAATTTTGAAACGACGAACTTTAAGTACCTACTATTGATTCCAAATGTATTTAAAATTACTTTTATAACGTCAACCTGCCTACAAAAATATAAATCTCCCGGTGGCCAATATACTGTTGAATACATTACGTTATTAAGATAAAAGAACGGGCATATAATTAGTAATTACATGTAGGTATTTTGCTTATCTATTGATTACTTATTTATTTTATTGTTATAGGTGCAAAATTGCAGCTAAAAAAAGAAAGTGTTCCGAAGATTATGTTAAGTTTGGGTTTACCTTCATAGAAACAGGCGAGATACAATTACCTCAGTGTATGATATGTATGAAAGTTTTAAATAATGATAGCATGAGGCCCAATCGCCTTGAAAGGCATTTGATGCAACAACATCCACTCTGGTTTTGAAGAAGAAAGAGTTTTTTTTCTGCTAAAGCAGAATTACTGAAGCGGATGAGACTGGATAAATCGGGACGTTATCACACAGGTGTATCGCAGCATGTCAAACCTTCATTTGAAATAGCTTTTATGATAGCAAAGCAAAATAAACCTCATACTGTCGGTGAAGAATTAATAAAACCATGTATCCTAAAAGCCACGCAGATAATTTTAGGAGAAGATGCAGAGCAAAAAATGAAGTCTATTTCTCTTTCGAATCACACAGTCAAGCGTAGAATCGATGATATTGCAGCAGACATAAAGTCACAAATAATTAACAAAGTAAAATTATCGCAATTTTTTGCCATTAGTTCCGATGAATCCAACGACATCGTTAATTGTGCACAGTTAATAGTTTATGTTCGTTACATCGGCAGATATATAATTCAAGAAGAGATTTTGTACTCTCAATCTTTGACATCAGGTACTACATCTGAAGATATATTTAATTCAAAATCAAGTTTTATTGAAGAAAATGATTTGGATTGGAAAAAACTCATTGGACTTTGCACAGATGGGGCTTAGCTAAAAAGCTCAAGGAAAAAAATCCCGCAATGGTTAGTACACACTGCGTTATTCATCGGCAAGCTTTGGTTTCCAAAACATTGTCACAGAAATTACGCCAGACTTTGGACTCGGCTATAAAGATTGTGAACTACATCAAAAGCAGCGCTTTGAACAGTCGGTTATTTACTTTACTTTGCGAGGATATCGATTCTGATCACAAAGTTCTTCTGTTCCATATAGAAGTATGCTGGCTGTCCAAAGGCAACATGTTGGCTCGCCTTTATGAATTGAAGGAAGAGGTAATTATTTTTCTTGAGTTCAAATAAAAACACGATTTCTTGACAATGTTCAAAGATGACACATTTCAATGGAGGTTGGATTATTTACCTGACATATTTGACACCTTGAATGAGCTAAACTTGAAACTTCAGGGCAGAGACAATACTATAATAAGCAATTATGATTATATTCAGGGGTTGATATCAAAGCTTCAACTTTGGAATCAAAAAGTCTCTTCTGAAAATGTTGGATCTTTTCCTCGGCTATTCAAAGCACTTAAAAATAACATACTAGACGCAAATTTGAAAGCTGACCCAAAAACTCATTTGCAACCGCTGCAAGGCGAATTTCACCGATACTATCGAGAATCAATTCAGAGTCACCAGTATGGCACATGACAAGACATCAATTTGTTGTCGATGTATCACAATTACCAGGAGAAGTTCAGGAAGAATTTCTAGAAATGATGGCTGATTCATCCATGAAAGCGTTCTTCCATCTTTTAACATTGGAGGAATTTTGGATCAAAAGATTGCCTGTTAATTCGACACTTGCCTCCTTGCTTAACAAATACTAGTTCCTTTTTCTTCAACTTACTTATGTGAGACAGATTTTTCCGCCCTAGTTTTAATTAAAACTAAACAGCGAAATTGTCCTGATGTCGATAGCGACCTGGCAAAAACAGAACCTAGAATCAACCAACTGGTACAGAACATGCAATCTGTGTCTCATTAGTATCTACTCTTGTTTTATTCAAGTTTTTCGATAAAAAACATTTATTAGTTTATTTAAACTTTCAATGCTTCTTTATTAGAATTAAAATAAAGTCTTTGTACCTATATAATGTGCGTTTTTTGTATTTATTGAAAAAGTAAAGGGGGGCATGAAAATATAATTTATAGTCCGCTGAGCCTCAACAAAAAAGATGCTGGGAGACCCTGCCCTAGAGTATAACTTTGGTGTCTTTGAAATTGGCAGACTGGTGGCAGGCTATCAAAGTTAAGCGCTTTTGAATTGCTTATAACACAACAATTAATCATCAAAATGCTATAATATGCTATATAAATAATCCTTTTTTTAAAATATTTGAATGCGCAATAAAATATATGTATAAAAAAATTGTCAGATTTTGACAATGTTTTTATATGGAATACTCCACATTTTTAAATGACTTCTTCTATATATTATTACTTTATAATCGCTTAATTGCTACTGATGTATAGATAGTTTAATACTCAAGCCAAAACCTACGTCAATATGTAAAAGATATGCCATCTTGGGCTCTGCACTCTAACTTTTATAACGTTTTGTATAACCAACAAAATCTAATAGCGCCTCTTCTTAATTATGTTTACGTTTAGTTTTCCTGAATTGTAGTAGGCATCAGCTACTCGTAATTGGTATAGAAACTCTTATAACCCTATATAAATAGTTTAATGAATAGTTATCTTCCGCATAAACCTATCATTTCACTTTCAATTTTTTTAATAATTTGTCAAACCGCTGAACGATAGCATTTTTTACAACAGCGAACAGATCCTACCTGTGTTTCCGTCTATCGGTCGAAAACACTTGATGAAGCAGTATCAGATCAAGTCATTATAATTTCGTGTTCAAGGGTACTTCTTTTATCAACTTTACTGATATCCGTTAACGAATGGAATAGAAAAATTCGCACAAGCGTTCGCGGTAGCATAGCATCCGAGTTATTCCATTGTCACGGTGTAGGCAGCCTGCTTAAGAAAATTAAAATATAACAAATTAGTTGTAATAAATAACTACGATGCATACTAGTAAAAAAGTGTTTTTGTGCGTTGAAGCTTAAATGTGCTTAAACATGCGGGTGTATCAGTATATGGCAGGAGCTGGCTGTGAGTATAGTGAACTTTTTTACGAAATTTGTAACACATCTTTAAGATATGAACAAATTTGGGAATTTTACAATTAAAGCCTTGACACATTTTAGTAGTTTAGTCGCGACTTTTGAAAAATCTTGGTGTAAAGCTTTGGCAATTTTAACGCTAAATTAAAAATATCTGTAATTGTGCGTTGAAGTGGATTATTTTTAAAAGGAATGTATGCGGTATATCTGGGAACAACATATCTGTTCAATAGCGACCATTTAGACGATGAGTCAATTGAATAAAAAATACGTGAATGCTCTTACACGAGAAAATTCGGTAAATACTCTTCGAAATGCAAGAAACGTAGGAATTCATGCCTCAAGTGAATACTCAACCCAAGCAAAAAATGGCAACCTACATTTTTTATGACAATACGCCACCGCTACTGGACCGATTTTTAATAGCTAGAGGGCTTTTTCGTCCTTGGCATAGTAGTAACTTTGTCTGGGAATTTCATCGAAATCCGAGCAGTACTTTCAAAGTTATCGACGGGTCAATGATTAGTGGACGGACAGACCGACGAAAATGAGCGACATGGTTTTTCAGTTTTTCGTCATTAAATGAAAAAACATAATATCATATTTCCTAAATTTTTGGGGTTACAATACATCCTCGCCAGTAGTCGTGGAATGTAAAAAGCCCGAATGGAAAAAGGGAAGTACCAGTCTACTGACATTGTAAACGTATTTTACGTATTCCAGCGCCTAGGAAGGAGTCTGAAAGATCATAGCAAACATAAATTTAGAAATCTAATTTTAAAAGCGATAGAGTGCTTTGCTACTGCCTTGAAGATGGCGCCAAATGAAAGGGCTTGATCAGAGAGGTACAATAAGCAAAGTGACGTTATTTTATTCTAAATCCAACACGACGGCCGCCGCAAAAATAATAAGATTTATGGAGTCAGACTAAAAAAAATATATGCAAATTAGATAAAAATTACTAAACTAGTTATTTTACCTCATAATTACTGAAAAATAAATAATAAAAGAAAAAAAATTGGAATATTTAATTTAGAAGTTAATAAAAATAAAGAAAAATGTTTCTAATGGGACATACTATATTCCGCTTTATTCTTCTTAACCTTTTAAAGACAATGAAGCTCCTTCGCATCCCTTCTTCTTGGCTCAAAACATATGGATTTTGGCAAACGGTCAGTTTCAATGAAAATTCGCATAGTAATAGTTCATTTTTACGGATGACATGTTCCTATGTATGCCTGCGCCATCTTCGGAAAATGAGTTCATTTTTATTTTCGACTTAATGATAAAATAACATTACGTGAATACATATAAGATATACAGGGCGTTTCAACTAAAATGGAGAGTACTTTAATACAAAAACTATAAAAGATATTCGTAAACGATTTGCACAGCAAGATTGCTATAGGTGTTTATTTCTGAATTATAAGGAAGTATATAGAGTGTTGCACAACTGGCACAACAAACAAGTTTTTTAAAGAAAAGCCCTATCTTTTCATATTCATCACCAAATAATCGTTCTAATGAAACAGTAGTAAGCTTGACATCAGGATAGCCATTTTTTTAGACACATGATAAAGTAACTAAACCAAAGGCAATCAAAATCCTATAGTATATTAAATTAATCCTCTTGTTCTCGTCTTTCTTGTATTTTAAAATGTCTAATATAATATAGGGTGTTCCAATAAAAAAATACATTTTTGTTATGACAAGGAATCTATATTTCCAAACGATTTGGAATCACACCTATAACACGTCAATCTTGTCGCTTAAACGATTTTTCATTATCTTATACAGCTTTCCAATTAAACAACCTTCCGCTTTCTTTGGAGCATCCTATATACAGGGTGTTTCACGTTCGACCCTCACCATCGGAATCGCGGAAACGGTAAGAGATACGAAGTCGCTTGAATGCGGGAAAAGTTGCGAATTTAGATAACTAATAAAATGCCGCTTTGAAAGTGTCGAAATTCCCGGAGAAAGACGGAAACATTCTGAATTTTCCCAAAATTGTCGTTTTGAGTTTTTTCTGACTTTTTACTAAAAAAAATATAAAAATCTACATAATTAATTCCGTTGGGCTGAAAGCTGTTTGAGGGACCTGGGGTGATAGAAAAATTCCTCCTTTGTCCGCCATTTCAATTCGGCAAACGATGCACCAAATACAGGGTGTTTCAGTTTATTGTTGCATAACTTAAAGATTCGATAGAACTTTTAAAATTAATGCATAAAGTCTATATAAACATGGATCGAAAAATGCGTGGCTTCCGAAGTACAGGGTGTTTAAATTTACTTTCTAAAATAGTTTTTTTTTAATATTTCGAACAATATTTGATGTATAATAGTGAAAATTGGTATACAAAGGTTTTTTGGTACGACAAAACGAACCATGGGCATAGTTTTACTGTAGCCGCTAGAGGGCGCTCTCTACTGTACCTGTAGTGTATTAAAATGACCGAAAATTTTTTCTTAGTGCAATTTTTTGCTTTTTGAATAAAAAAACTGATTCTTCGGACTTTTCAACATAAAAAAGCTCTCTTGTGAATTTTCATTACAGTTAGCCGTTTTTGAGATATTTCGATTTTTAAGGTTTGATGCATTTTTAATTAATTTATGATAAAATAACGTTAAAAAGTCAGTATCTCGACAATTTTTAGAAGTAGGCTGTGCCTGCAAATATTTTTGAAATTGAAAGCAGAATAAGGTTAAACGTCTATTAGTTGACAGTTAGTTTTGTTGTCTGTTGAAACCTGAAACGCTTTTTTGCAATTGTGAATGCACAAAATTTAGTTTCTTTTACCTGTTTTTTTTTGTAAGTTTTATAAAAATGCCATTTTTATTCTCCCATCAAGAGTTAGCGGATATTCATTTTGTATATGGCTTTGTAAATGGAGCAGCAGAAGCAGCCAGAGAATACGCACGAAGATTTCCAAACAGACGACATCCAACTCGCTCAGTATTTGTAAGAGTGCATCGCCAAATAACTGAAAATGGTTTTGGGAATCTCCAAAGGGATCAAAACATAAATGTTCGTCAGCGCAGATTTACCCATATGATTCTGCGTGAGTTTGACAGAGATCCGACCACAAGTGTTAGGAGAGTTTCTGGTGCCTAGGGAATTTCAGCAAGCCACGTTCACCGTGTTCTTAGAAATGACCATAGACGTCCTTACCATTTGCAACCTGTGCAAGGACTACAGCCAGGGGACGGAGAACGAAGAATCACATTTTGTCAGTGGATTCTTGATAGAACTGATAATAATAGGGAGTTTTTAAGTAACGTTTTATGGACCGATGAGTGATGCTTCACTAGACGTGGAGTGGTAAATTTTCATAATCAACATATTTGGTCGCATGAAAATCCGCATGCAGTTCGGGAAAGAAATTTTCAGCATGAATTTAGTGTGAACGTGTGGATTGGTATCTACCGTAATCGACTATTTGGACCCTACCTTTTGCCTGCAAGGTTAAATGCTGCGACCTTCTTGGAATTTTTAAAGGCAGAACATGCAAATATGTGGGATGATATTATGTTAGATTTAAGAAGATTAGCCTGGTTCCAGCTTGATGGTTGTCCAGCTCATTATTCGAGAATAGTTAGAAACTGGCTGGACGAAAATTATCCAGAAAGATGGATCGGCCGTGGAGGACCAGTCGCCTTGCCTCCACGATCCCCTGACCTAAATCCATTAGATTTCTTTGTGTGGGGATTTCTAAAAGAAAAAGTGTACTAGACTCCCGTAACCACAAGAGATATGCTAATAGACAGAATCAGGAATGCAGGTGATGAAATAAGGCCTTATTTGAATAATGCTATACCACGTTCGATCATTCGTAGATGTGAATTGTGTATTGAACAATCGGGTTTACATTTCGAGCAACTACTTTAGATTTTGTATGTTTGTCCTAACTATCCAATAGCATTTTAGTTGTAAATAATTAATTTAATTTGTTAAAAATAATATTGGAAAATTAAACAAATTAGTATTCTGTTTTTTTGTGTTTATTTGGAGTTAGGAATTATTGCTGTGTTTAAAAACACAATCTAAACGATCATCTTAATTACTTGTAATCCCCAAATCGAAAATGTAGAAAAAAATATTATTTTCCCATAAATAATTAAGAAGCATCGAACCTTAAAAATCGAAATATCTCAAAAACGGCTAACTATAGCGAAAACTCACAGGAGAGCTTTTTTATGCAGAAAAGTGCGAAGAATAAGTTTTTTTATTCAAAAATTAAAAAATTGCACTATGAAAAAATTTTCGGTCATTTTAATACACTTCAGGTACAGTAGAGAGCGCCCTCTAGCGGCTACAGTAAAACTATGGTTCGTTTTGTCGTACCAAAAAACCCTGGTATACCAATTTTCACTGTTATACATCAAATATTGTTCGAAATATTTAAAAAAAACTATTTTAAAAAGTAAATTTAAACACCCTGTATTTCGGAAGCCACGCATTTTTTGACCCATGTTTATATAGACTTTATGCATTAATTTTAAAAGTTCTATCGAATCTTAAAGTTATGCAACAATAAACTGAAACCACTCTGTATATAATATATACTTCGAAGTTGAGTCATTTATTTTAACAGTGAGTAGATCTGATCAAAAGAAATGTTTTTTTCCTTTAACATTTTTGTGGTAAAATTAAAGTAACAAAGTTATAGCCCTTTAGAGGTTTGAGTACCGCCCTGTCTCAATAATAATATTATGTGCTCGTGTTTGGCAACAACGGATATACTCCGCCTTATCGGTTCATCGCATCGGAAACAAAAAAGCGAAAGAATTTGAAACGCTGATCACGATGTTTTTATTCAGTCAATGTGTCAGTCGGTAACGCGTGAGTGAATAGTGGTGTTTGCTGCGTGGCTCAAACGAAATAAAAAATGGCACATATTTATGCGGATCGGTTTGCCAATCGAGTGAAACCAACCCCTCGTGCCTTTGTTAATGTAGTACAACGGGCTCGTGAATCAGGTGACTTAAGACCTCACAGGGGAGCGCATGCCGGTGCTCCAAGACCTCACGATCAAATACAGGTCCGCACTGAAATACTTGTCGGGAGGATACTTTATAAAACAAGGTAAAAATTTTTTTTTATTTTTTATTTTTTATTTTTACACACATATTTTGGTTTATCTTCCTTCTATAATCATTATCTGAAAATTAATGACTCAACTTCAAAGTCACCCTGTATATATATATAAAAACAGGGTGTTTCAGATTTGGCCTCACCATTGGGATCTGGTAGCCTTTAAGAGATACGAAGTCGCTTAAATAGGAGCAAAGTTGAGTATTTGGGTTGTCGATAAAAAGCCGCTTAGAAAGTTTAGAAATTCAAAGTACTTCCGGAGAGAGACGGAAAAAACCGGGTATTCCCAAATTCGTTTCAATGTTTTCCCAAGTTTATTTATACTGGGATTTCACAATAAATATTGCACATTAGCATTTTTTCTCTACAAAATGACATAATTTGAATTTATTTTCAATGTGACGTTCCATCCCTTGTCCTCCGGCATCAACTTTATTTTTTCTTATATACACCATATTGGATTTAGGCACAGATAAATAGAGTTTTTAATTCTGATTACAAAAATGTAGACATGTCATAACACTGCCTTTGCCAAACCTTAGTTTTTCAAAACCGGAATTTGGAATGTTGTTAATCTGTTAATCTGTATCTCCAAGAGAAAGCATTTCTTGGCCCATTGGATCAGCACAACATTACTATATGACTGTTTTAAAATTAATTGATGGACAAATTTCATGTTTTATGTTTGGCACTTGGTTTTCTAGTCCATTCTACGATGAACTCTTTCTGTTTCAGCCAACTTTGGCATGATATCAGTTGGCATGCACTACGGCTGGTCCTCGATAGCACTGCCAAAGCTGATTAACGGAACTGAAACAAGTTTCACCATCACTCCAGAGGACGCGTCATGGTTAGCTTCGATCGTCTCCTTAGGTTCACTATTTGGAGACACGTTTGCTCTTTTGACGTTGGATAAACTCGGAAGGAAGTTTCTTATTATAGGATCATCACTGCCATTAGCTGTATCTTGGTTGTTAGTTGCCAATGCACAGTCTGTAGCTTTTTTGTATATCGGAAGGCTACTAGGTGAGTATTAAGAAATCACGAAAAATCTCGGCCCAGAAGTCACTACATGTTCAGGAAATTTGAATCGAACTGAAGGTGCGGCACCATTGATTACGTATCAGCAATTCCACGCGTCACGGACGACACTTTCTGTCATAGTGGTTGAAGGACACAGCAATAACTTCATCCGCAACGAATTAAGAACTTTTCCCTCATCTAGTTTTGATAAGGAATAAGTCTAATTGGATTTCTGAGGATCTGTGAGTAGATGTCACGGACTGACAAAAATGGAAACACAAAATTATATGTTTTGATGATTTACGAAATTCTCTGAATAGAACGGAAAGACTAAAATTATTTCAAGAGCCTTGTCTGATTAAAAGTTTATTCTTCAAAATGAGTCAATAAACCACCAGCACATTGGTTAAGTGACGACTATCCTCAAAGAAAAAAATAGAGCTCATGCTTTAGTTAAGTTGGGAAATACAATAGAAAGTCGCGAAAAATTCAAGCATCTAAGGAATCGCGCTCTCACAATAATAAGACTCAACAAAAGAGCATACGTTCAAAGTATCCTTTATGAAAATGATTAAAAAAATATGGAAATACCTTTTTGATGTAAATTTTCGTAACAAACCAAACTTTTCAGCTCAGTTTGATGACCAAACTAAAATTAATAATTACTTTGTATCAGCATACGATCACAAACATACACATCCGCAAGTAAGCCAGTTCTACTTGAAAAACAAGCTGAATTCTGAATATTCCTTTTCATCAAATGCTGTTAAGTAGCTGTAGCTGTAGCTTGAGGTCCGATGCAAAAGGGAGTGACGGCATATCTCTAACAATGTTAAAACTATGCTTACCCGTTATTAACGATCATATCGTACATATTTGTTTATTTGAAAACGGGCTACTTTCCTACAGGCTTTAGGGCAGCGGTGGTTGTACCAGTTCCTAAAACAGCTAAATTATCCGACCTAGCTGACCTCAGACTTATCAGCCACCCGTCCTGTCAAAAGTGTTGGAGAAAATAGTTAATTTACAAATTTCCACATATCTTGAAAAATACAATATAATACCCGGCACCCAATCTGGCTTTAGAAAGAATAATGGAACAACCTTTGCTCTCCTTAATCTTCAGGATAGTATTTCAAGTGCCTTACATACAAAAATTACACTGATTTGTTTTTTATAGTATCAACCATGAGCTTTTACTTATGAAACTTAGGTTATACTGGTCTTGATAACTTAGCAGTATATTTTTTTGAAAATTATCTTCACGGCCGAACTCAATGTGTTTTATTAAACCAAAGAATGTCCTCAACACTGTTGATGCCTTCGGGTGTTCCTCAAGGCTCTATATTACTACCTATACTATTTTTAATTTACCCTTTTGATTTAAAGAAAACTATTAATAACTCCCTTATTCAATCATTTGCAGATGCTACTCGGTCACAATCTCAAAATAAATACAGAGAAACCCAAAGTATTATTGTTTTGTAATGAAAAAAAGAAAAATGCTGCTTCTTCTCACTTAAAGATTTCTATAAATAATGAAGATTGCAAGTCTGCAAAAATACTTGGAGTAGTTTTTGACACTAAAATGAGGTTTGTTGAACATGTGAAGAGTCTGTCCCAAAAAAGTATCGCAGGTTAGGTACGCTTATAGCAAATCCATATTTACTGAATTTTAAACTTCGCAAAAAACTGTGCGAGAGTCTTGTCATATCTGTTCTAAATTACTGTGATATTGTCTATTTTCCGTCATTAGATTGATTTAAAAAATCATTCAAAATAATTGTGTACGGTTCATTTTTGGATTACAAAAATCTGACCATGTTTCAGCCAATTACCAAATACTGAAGTGGATGAAATTTGAGAATTTAGTAAACTACCACTGTTTAATTTTCATACATAAATTATTGTATCAAAGCCTTTATACCTCAGAAAAAAATTGTTTTTAGTAAGAATGTGCACACTAGACCGTTAAGACACAAACTTATAAGCACAAAACAACATTCTTTAAATGAAGTTTTTAGTATAATTTAGCTATCAGTTATAATCCAATACCTGAAGTGTATAAGTCATATTCTTTGTCTACATTCCGCAACAAAATCAAACTGTTTATAAATTCACTATCCACTTAATATTTCTATATTTTATGATGTATTGTAATTCTTGATTTACACATTTTCTGATCCTGTTCTTGCCTTTTTTTTTCTCAAGATAGGACATAAATATTTATATTGTGTTACCAATAGCTAACTGACTGGTTGAGTGTAAGAGTAGCTAATGCTAAACTTCGCCAATCAGTTATTGTATTTCCAAATAAAGACGACTATTATTATTATTATTATTAATAATATTATTTTATTATTACTATATTATTATCATTATTGTTATTATTATTATTATTATCATCATTATTAAAATGATACAAACAGGAACCTTTATATTCAAATAAAAGCTAGTTATCGGCAAAAAACCAGTATATCACGGACTGACGTAAAAATGTCACGGATTGACTTCTGTGGCGGGCGGTTTGTCCGTGACGCAAAATTGGCACCTGTGACGATTTCTTTTTTATCTGAATTGTTATACACGATACACAATATAGATTAGGAACACAAATTTTGAGTATTTTGTAATGTTGGCAGATGGTAATTAAAACTTAACGAAGTGTGAAATGTTTCTGGGAATGATTATCTGGATAATTGGAAATCTTAAAGGTTCAAATTCAAAAGTGTATTTGAAATAATTCTTACAAATCGAGTCATTATTGCTGCGGTAACTTTTTTTTAGAAAAAGAATAAAACACAAGTGGTGCATGTGCATGAGTATCTGACATGGAAAACAAAACTAAACATAGATCAATAAGGTATAGCGATGAATCTACAACTAACATTGCTTTTATTAGCTATTTAAACAACCCTAGCTGACATAGGTAAAAATCATGTTTTTCAACATTCATTGGCTTAGTCATTATGTGGCCTAACATGTTATCAGCTGACCTGTTTGACAAACTTAGCTTATCAAAAGTCAACATTTCTGGTATGCTATATTTGTAGCCTGTCCGGTAAATAGTACGACAAAAAAATAGAGACTATAGGCGAAGGGCTGATCTACAACATACCAAAAAATCATCTTAGTAAAAGTTTCACCTTTATTGAGATATTAAATTTCCTAAATATCCTAATAAGCTTTTAGTCGATTTTGTTTTAGCAGTGGTATTAATGGCAGTAAGAGGCTAGTTTAGCTCCAACTGGATTGAAATTATTAAGTCCAGTAGGGTCCCGAAAAACACCCTAACCTATGTCTTTGACAAAAAATTTGTGCGCCATGGACTTTTTACAATTTTTCTATTTTTTTAGAATTAAGCAGCTAAAAATACAACTTTTTTGTCTCTCAAGTTTCTCCCATATCTCGCTTCGTTTGTGAGATAAAAATTAAAAAGCACTTAATTGCATGTTTTTGATAATTAAGTTACGATAAGGCAAATAGACATAAAATATTTACATAACGTTATTTATTTTTACCAGTGGCGTTGCACATTGGTAACGGTGGAAATTAAAAAATAATCGAACCGGAAAAACGTTTTTTTTAAAAGCACACTTCGGGTTTTATTTCAATGGAAAACATTTAACAGTAGTTAACACGAGACTTATGAAAATGTCCTCATTCAAACTCAATGCAAGCATTAGCTCATCTTAACATTGGTTGGGGAACTTGTTGAAATATTCCCGGTGTATGTCTTATCTGATCACATGAATCTCGAATCCGATGCGTTAATTCGTCGTGAGCATTCACTGGAGCTTTGTAAACCAGGAACTTTAAATGTCGCAAAGAAAAAATTTAACGGATTTAAGTCAGGTGACCTGGATGGCCATGACTGTGGACCTGCGCTATCGTTACAGTTTTCTCCAAAAGTTGCATTCAAAAATTGGCGAGCTACTATGCCCATCGTGCATAAACCATATTGATCCTCTTACTTCCAGCGGGACATTTTCTAGTAGTTCAAGTAAAATAGATTCCAAAAGATGACGATACTCTTGACCACTTAATCTCGGATGTAAAAAATGAGGGCCAATGAGATAATCACCTACATACCTACAACATCAAACCTAACGTTCACGGGAAAATTAACAATTAACTTCTGTAACCGCATAGGGATTTTCTTCAGCCCAGATATGATAGTAGTGAAAGTTCAAATGCGGGATAAAAATCTTGTTGTTGCTAAAGTACACGTACAATAAACAACTCGTCTGGGAAAATCGGCAGATAATAACGCTTGAACCCACTGAATGTGGTAAAGATACAGTTGATATCCCCTTAAAATCTGCCGTACAGTAAAGTGAGAGATGCTGAAATGTCCTTCAATTTTGCATGTACTTGTATCGGGGCTACGTTCAACTTCACGTAAAACTGCTTCCTCCATCTCCACTGTTCTTATTGTTTCTCCATTACAGCAAACCGACCTTTGGAAGGTGCCTGATTCGCACAGCCTTTTAGTCAGATTTGCTTGAGTACCAATTGTGTTTCCTTTCATGGCACTCTTATTTTTTGTTACTTTCAAAACATTGCTGTTTTAAATTATTACGCTCTGCGATTATCTTATGTTATTTCATTTTATCGAAATTAGTTTTGAATATGTACGTGTCGTGAGACTTCAGTTATCAATGCTTGGCTCTGATGTGATGTAAAATCTGCTTCAGAGATGGCATTACTGGATTTCATTGGATTCTTGTCTCAAATACACTTACTTGAGATGCACTTTTTCTTTTCCATTCTGTAAATTACATATGCAAATTAGATGAACTTGGAAAATGAGAGCGTTAAGAGATAATTATATTCACTGTACACTGTTGAATTACAAGTCATATACATGCTAACAGTAATTACACACAACGCGGACGCGGTGGTGAATTCCCGTAATTCTTCTCAAAGTTTTTGGAAACAAAAAAAACGCAAAAAGTCCTAATTTATAACTTTGAAAATAATCTGATTTCAAAAAGGACAACATATAAAGAACCCATCGGGCACATCTAATAGTTTTACTTCATTCGCAGCATAATACTTACCCACAGCAAATATTACAGATTTTATACACATGCAGACCAATATACACAATCATTCAGTTGCGATCTTGCTATTCAATCAACTTTCTTCTCAGAGATGAAAACTACAGATTACTCGGCTTCACAAAACTTATGCAACCAACAATGGGTGTAGTTGAGCAATTCCTTCATAGATGGACGCTCACAACGGACCTAGTGAACAAACGTGGAATGACTGCAGGATGACATTTTATAGTTTTTTGTCGTTTTATGGGTTTTTCACATAATACCCGTGCGGACATGCAATCATGACCGTCGTCGTCTTCAGAAGCTTGGATTCACCTTATCAGATCTCGAGAGGAGCAGTTGGTGTCATTTCTAGAAAGAAGCATAGAACGCAATAGTTGTATCACAGTAGTTTTTCTACTTATCTGGAAGCCAGTATTGCCAGTAAGCCATTGTTCAAGTATAACTTATTTGTTTTCATATGTAACTCTTTGGTACGAAATATTTATTAGATTGCAGCTAGCTATGACGAATAGTAAAATCCAAACAGTTCGCCAAAATGTCAGTCCGTGACAGTGTGTTGGAACAAAAACCGTTAACGTAGCAAAACACTTTCTCTGGCATTAATTGCTGCTTGTAACGCATATGGGTTGGATTCGAAGCTGGAAGAATCAGGTGGCTGCAACGTGAGATATACGAGTATAATGGTTTCATTTAGCGACCCCGAAACCTGGAGAATTACTTATTTACGATTGTTTAGCTATTTTCAGGTCTGCAAATAAACTTATAATGTCGTATACTTTAATTTTCTACTTGAAAATACATAAGATAGGTACTTTACGTTGTCCAAAGATTAGAATGATGGTGCTACCAAATATACTTCATGAAATGTGTCATAATACTTCAGATGTAGAAATAAAAGTACCAATATATTTTCAGATAAAAGGCAGACAGATGTCGTCAAGAACGCAGTAGAGTCAATTATTTTGAGGTGCTGTCTTGAGTCTGAGAGAAACTGAGAAAAATGCCAATACTACTACATTTACAAATATAGATCAGGCTTACTTGTCAAAAACTGATCCTGTCAATCGGTCTTTACTCCATCTGTTTTTGGAAATTAGACCTTCAACGAGCTAGCGCCGCCTAGCGGGAGCAAAGTCGAACATCGCTGACATCACATACTTTAAATCTGATGCCATCTTTTTCTTAATTTGCAGGTGGATTAGCAGATGGAATCGCATTCAGCGTGGTGCCTCCATACTTAACCGAAATCTCAGATCCAGAAATCAGAGGCTTCCTAGGTTCAACCTACCCTGTTACTTTACATTTTGGCATGCTTCTAATGAACATATTGGAACTAATCTTCTCCATCCAGCTTTCATCCTACTTAGCCTGTTTGATAGGAATGTCCACGTTGTTGATAATGCCTTTAGTACCTGATAGCCCTTACTTCCACCTACTGAAAGGCAACGAAAAAGCTGCTAAGGAAAGCTTACAGAAATTTACCGGAAAGAAAGACGTTTCGAAAGACTTGGAAAGAATATTAGAGGGTATGCAAGAAGAAGGCGGAGCACATCTCAACTGCTCTAAGGCTTTCTTTAGCCCACTTGCAATTAAAGCGCTGATGATATCTATAGGATTGATATTCCTTCAACAGATGAATGGATTGTTAGCTGTCATCAGCTACACATCTAGTGTCTTTCAAGAGAGTAAAGACTTTCTAGATCCTCAAGTATCTAACATTATCTTCTATTCAATGCTCATGTTATGTGCGTTACTTGGCGCGTTTCTTGTTGATATCTTCGGAAGAAAATTTCTCATATTACTGTCTTTAATCTCATCAACTATTATGTTGCTCATAACAGGAGCTTATATATACATAAAAACTGAAACTAGCATAGATGTGGAAGGTATGGGCTACGTAGAACTAATTTCAGTAATTCTGTACGCAGTCTCTGAAGGTGTAGGACTGATATTCATCCCTCTGTTAGTAGTAAGCGAGATACTTCCAACAAATGTCAAAGCTGTTGGGATGTTGTTGATTAATATTTGTTTCGCATTGACTTCAGCAACCGTCATTAAGTTTTTTAGTTGGAGTTCTATGGAGTATGGGATGTATGTTCCCTTCTTTACTTTTGCGTTATGTGGTATAGCTGGTGTGATATTTGTGATATGTTTGGTGCCGGAAACCAAAGGGAAAACGTTGGAAGAAGTTCACAGAGCAATCGACGGACATCATAAGAATAAGAGCTATGATTTAGACTGATAAACATTTTATTTGAATAAGTAGTAGCTCAGGAAGTATTCATGTTTTTTTAATGTGTGTGAACAAAAAATATCATTTTTTATAAAATTTATAAAATTGACAGCTTAAAAGATATACGAGTAAGCAATTTAATATTTAACACGTTCGCTGCCGATGACTCCGATCGGAGCCAATCGGTGATCTTCGCCATGTGCCGATGGCTCTGATCGGAGTTATCAATTTCCGTGAGCAGTGATACGAATAATCCTGGTTTCAATGCTGCCGACTCCGATAGGGGACAATTTTTTTCTCCACCTTTTTAAATTCGATACCAATATAAATGTAAGCTCATGAAATATCTCAAACACATTTTTGGATGCGGTTTCAACCCTGTAGCACACAAAATCTTTCCAGAAGGTTCACAAGTCTGCTTAGTGTCACTCAGCACGACGGCCCTTACGCCTGTTTATGTTATACATTCCATTCCTTATCTGGGCACTTGTTCCCAGGATGAACTTTCTTAAAATGCGGGCGTGGCGCGCATTACAGTTCAAATACTGCGTGAAATCCATCGCTTCTCAGACCAAGTAGTGCGCATTGTGGACCTAATTACAGTGTTGATGTGCTATTGGGTGTAGAGTTTTGGTTACCTGTAAGCTGAGCAATCACTGAGTATTTCCTTCATTCTGCTGTACTGCATCGATTGATAGCTATATCACTTTTATATCCATGATCATGAATGTCGTAAGCACGTAAGCCATATTTATATAGAAGCTTTGATCGTATAGCCCTAGTTATAAACATTCTTTCAGCATATTCATAAATTACAACGATGCTTTGATTATATATCCATAATGATAAAGACGCTCTGATCATATATCCACATTTATAAAGATGCTTTGAGCATATATCCATATTTATAAGATGCTTGAATTATATATTCATATTTCTATCAATGACTTACGGACTCAATAATTGCGGATAAGGATAGGGAAATTAGGTGGCTCATACAGGGGTGACGCCTCGCCTCCAGTCTCTGGAGGTTGTTATGGGACTTTCGGTACCCGATTGCTGGGTTTAGGTGGTTACGTTCATTACTGCTCGGTTTCCTCTATCAGGGGAAACGTCGGAGCGCTTGGAATGTTGACAAGGTGGCCTTTGGCCGAAGTGGCGTCCTAGGTCTGAATGACCGCTTAACCATCTTCTCTTGGTAATCGCTGGCATCTGAATGTATCTCATGGCAGGATGTGCGAAGGGATTGTTATTCTAAGGCTTGTCATCTTGCTCGGTTATCTCTGATTAAGAGGTAATCTCGGAGCCTTTGGGTATTGACGCAACGGCCGTTGGTCAACGTGATATCCTGGATCCTGGACTGCTTTTAGTAACAGTTGTTAAACTCAGCATATTTGTCTATACGCCTGGATATCACATAGGTGCTTAAAACTATGTTGATCACATATGCTACTGTGTGCTGAAAATTGGCTAAGTGGAGGACTGTATGTCCCAGGTACTGTGTGTCCCAGAGTGGTGCCCCCGCTCTTAGGGTCTGCGGACCAGTATATGATAAATTAAAAATAAATAACGATGAATTGGTACCACTACGAATAATTAATGTATTTCTAAGGTAGTGCATGTTATGATCGGTTGAACATGGGAGGTACTCAAGTCATTTTTCTAAAAATAGATATTGGCCCCGACAATCCGACCATATCGCCCTTATCGCTTGCCAAAGGATGATAACTCGTTGCCGTTCCGCCACCATGTAAGGGGCTTTAATATTACCCTGACATTGTTGCCCATATCAATTGCTTACTTACCCTTGTAGTAAAAATGAAATGATACAGGGTGGTACTTCGAAGGGTTTTCACGTTTATTGTTATACTCTATTATTATCATATCTCGTGCTTATCCTATATAAATAACTAAACATGATTACATATACCAATATTAGTCTGATTGGTGAAAAAATGTATTTGGCTATTGAGAAAAGATAATCCAGTCTGAGTAGGTAGCGGACGTGTTAAGAAAATGCGAAATATGCTATCTTCGATACGAAAAAAAATCTGAGAAAACCAAAATTTTAACGCTGCCAAATATCAACCACCAAAATCACGAAGTATCTTAGGGGATATTTTTGTTGTAAACTACTGTTTTATATTTAATCAAACGCGCACTCAATGTATATCTGCGTGAGTGTGAGAGAAATGCAGGTAGCTTGTAATGAATTTGTAATCTTGTGAATGGCTAAATTCATTTATGGTTATATATATTCTGTTCAACCTTTTTTTTTAGCTACGTATTGCAAGGCAGTTGCTCTGCTTGCCGCAGTATTCCCAGTCACACTTGCTCTTCGTAACATTCGTTAAAAGTTTCTAATAATATTTATTCGGTGTGTTCGTACCAGCAGATGGCTATGAACATGTATCACAAAGGAATTAAACAGATCATGTCAGTCAAACAGTCACATACAATTAGTTCCTAGTCCCGACAGTATTGATAACATTGCGATCTAGTCTGCAATTGAATATACCGATACACGCATCATCGCTCAGTTATTCTTCAGCATTCACAGCGGATAGGTGTGCGCTCGTTGGATTATGCGGCACACATGTTGAAAATATATATCTATCATTCAGGTTTTAAGCGCAAATGTATGGAGAAATTTATGATATATGAATTGTATCTAACAGGTGCGAATGATAACTGGGGCTGGAAATGTATAAATTGGTAAAATTGTGTGAACATTTGATCAAAATTCGAGCGGTACCTACTTCCCAAGGTATAGACGGGTCAATGATTAGCGGAAGACAGACATACTAACGAAAATGAGTTACATAATATTACAACAACAATACCCCCTGAAATGATTTGAGATTTTGTTAATGGATGTTTGAGGGATATTCTGGCTTTGGCAACATTAAGAGTCACCCTTGATAGCTGAGTGCCGTTCAAGGGTTGATATACCCTTGGAACCAATACAATTACAACGCTTCTTTGAAGGATGTTCAAGGAAGTATTTGACATTTGTATTTCACAGTAGGCTGTAACAGATGTCATCACAAGCTGTTATCGATGTCAGAAGGATTGTTCTTTTATGGCTGTATCTAAAAAAAATAAACAATGCAATATGCTTCCTCTAACTTATGTTCGATTTTGAACTAGTAAAATGTACGTACAGCCAACTAGTATTATACCGAACTGCCGGGGTATCACGTAAACCAGGGCTGTCCATCATACTCCTTTCTTGCGGCCCGCTTCACGGGTCATGTATACATCACATGTATAAATTACTCTCAAATACCGAATATGCACAATTCGTACATTAACTCAGTAATAATGTTGTATAGAGAGATTTTATAATGCGGCCCTCCAAACTGCAATTTATTTTTTTTTGAAATGGCCCTTGTGCCACATTAAGTTGGACAGCCATGACGTAAACAATCGATCGAACGTGTAGAAAAATATTCTATGAAAATAAAAGCAAAAAACCAATGCAGGTAGAATGGTTTTCTAACCACCAGAGAAATAACCATAGTTTTGTTTTTGAAGTGCAATAAACTATGAACTTTACATTTTTGTTCTTTGGAACATTCAAAATAACAAATATCCAGACGCTGTGCTATTTTCTACAAAAAATTAGGCCTTTATGAAATGTCTGGCCTCAATAGTCCATTTTATGAAAATTCATTCTAGGGAATATTGCTATTTCCCCCAGCTGTTACAAAATCATTCAATCATCATTCAACAATTAATTAAGTTGTTTACTGGTTCTTTTGGGTGTATTACTTTTGATAAGGTTTTTGCAATTCGTTCTCAAGCATTGCTCTACAAAATGATTGAGCAGCGATCAGTTTTTTTCTTTATTTCCAACAAATCCTTTGAATTTATCCAGTATATCCGTCAGATGCATTTTCTTTGCTTGGCTAAATTTCTTTTTAGTTTCAGTGTTACACATTATGCAATGATTATGAAAGATTTGGTCATTTTTTGAAACACTGTATCAAGCTGCCAAGTAGTTCAGATAATATGTGGTACCAAGGCTGTACGCTGAATCTGGCAGACGTGATCTATAATCTACAGCTAGCACAAGTTCGGTGCGGTAGGTACAATTCTAGTTGCCTATACACACAGTTTACTGGTTGCGAGTAGGCTATAAATTCATGAAAGAAATCACATTACTATTTTGCATTGTTAAGCAAAATTTAGCCCAAAAATAAACCAGTTCGTTTCAAATTATCAGCAAAGTGTTAAATCGATAAGGTCGGCAGAGAGATATCTTTCTGACATCGATGACTGCCTGGGATGACACCTGTTGCTGCCTAGTGTGAAATGCAAGTGTTGAATCCTCCATTGAACGTCCCTCAAGAAAGCCTCATTGTTACCACGGTTACATTATTTCCAAGGGTAGATCAACCCTCAAACGGTACCCAGCCCTAAAGGGACCTCTATAAAACAGAATCTAAAGTTTTCGTTTTTTCGGATTGCTTTCCGTGGACGAAAATGACATACTTCGAATATTAAGTCACTTGTATCTCGAAAAGTATCAAACACAAGATCATTTTTGTTCAAAATGACAAGAACAAATTTTAAAAATCTCTGTCTGGAGCGAAAAAAACAATTTTGGGAATCTGTATAAAAAGCAATTTTTGACGTAATTTTGGTAAAAAGATTATGCAAAAACCGAATCAGAATATACTTCCGAACAGATGTGACTGGACTATAGTAATTTTTGTACATTTCATAAGACAAAAAGTTTGTCATAATGACGTTAGTTCACCCGAAAGCAACTCGTAAGATTACTTTTTTATGTAGATTCTCTTCATTGTTGAAACTTTTGTTTTATGTGATCACAACAAATGTACAGTATCGTAATAAAAAGTGTGATGAGCCTTATAACTTATTTCCAAAGCTTCTGTTGTACAGAAAGGGAAAGTTTATAGAATGTTTTGACTCTAGCTGGCTCTTATAGTCAGCGATTCCACTACATCTGGGTACATTAGAATCATTGATTAACGAATTTTACCTAATACTATAATCGCGCCCGAAAAATTATCCCAGATGAAATGAGATTCTGTAAGGTCATCGATGAGATTTTGTGAAAGCTATGCTTCTTCTTCCCACAATAATTAGAAATATACTATGGAAAGTTTAGCATCTCACAGATAGCGCAGTAACTATATGCTCATATATAGATGGCTATAGCGACTTCTAAGGGATATTATCTTTTTCAAAGTAGGTTTCTAGTTATTGCGGAGAGAAGAAACATAGCTGTGACAAATTCTCATAGATGAATGAGGCTGTGGTATTTCATTTCATGTCGTATAATTTTTCGGTGCGCGAATATAGCATTAGGTTAGTTATATTAAAAAAAATACGTTTTATTTTTATTATATTAGAAAATTCTAATTGTCAAAAGCAGATGAATGTGTCCCTGAGATCAAAGGCAGTAAAACTCCAAACTATATTATAATTCATAGAAAAAATGATAATTTACAGAAAATTTAAATCTACTGTACAATTTTATACACATGACAACATATACTCTTGTTTTTTATTTACATAGCCTCTACCACTTCTCTTTGGCCTACAGGTAGCGTTGGTCTGTAGTTCCTTCTTACACAGCCATTGTAGTTGGACGGCATTTGGGCCTCTCTGGGATTGCTCTTCATATTTCTGAATGCTGCTAACTACAACAAATAACTAAGATTAAAATGAAAAATTTTGAATATCCTGCAAATTTTGCGAATTTTCGATATCATCAAACACTTAAGATACGGAAAGTGTCGCAAGTTGAAAATATTGAAAATGTTACAAATTCAGAAAATTTCTACAATTTTGAATATTTGTGAGTATTTTGACAATTTACCTGATTTTGCAAAGTTGATCATTTCGAAAATTGAATATCTAAAAAATATTGGAAATTTTGAAAATGTTGAAGATCCCAAAAAACTTGAAAATCGTGAAAATGTTGAGAATTTTCAAAGTTCTGAAAACTGAAATTCTTGAAAGCTTTTTCAGCTTTGAAATTTTTGAAGCTTTTAGAAATCCTGTAACATCGGAAAATGTTGAATATAGATACTCGTATTAAGGAAATTTAATAAAAATTTTGAAACTTTAAAATTCAATATTTAAAATTTTGGAAAATGAAGTTTTCAGAATAAGTTGAAAATGAGATGTCGAGTATCTTTAAAAGTCTGAAACAACTGGAGGAATGTTGTGATTCCTGTAAATTGTAAGAATTTTGAAATTTTTCGAAAACATGAATATTTTGAAAACCTCCTAAATTGATGCAAATTTACAGAATATTCAACATTTTGGTAAATTTTGGAAATGTTGACAATTGATAATTGGTCAAATTTAGAAAAAATGCTGAAAATTTTATTAAGCATACTCATATTGAAAATCCTGAAAAATGATAAATTTTGGAAACTTTGGGATCTGAAGATAAGTATTGGTAATGTTAACATCTTTAAAAAGTTTAAATACCTGAATGTTTTTGTATATCTGGAAGTTTTAGAAATTCTAACTATTCTGTAAAAACATAAGAGGTAGAGAAACTCTATGACAATCTTATTACCTACCTGTTCTTGTGAGATCTCCACAGGTTCCTTGAAGACTATCCAAATTACACATTCTGAGCATGGAGGTGTTGTGAGAGATCCTTGGTAAGTGTAGTATCCGTTATCCTCTGGTATAAACAACGCTGGATCAACCGGTTCTGTTAGATACAACCTTTCATTTTTAAATTCGACTTTGGGTAGTTGCGCTACGATTTTGTCCAATTCTCCATGCTTGTTTCCAGGCTGAAAATGGAGATTGGTATGTTAGCAACATGAGTTAGATGCTACATTAATTGGGTTTATGCTTCATCGTTGATGCAGTATTGATGCAGTATCGCCTAAAAAAGTATAAGACGCTTCACAAATCAATTTATCTCTAGTCCGTGCTCAGTCATGCGCTATTATATTCAAATGGTTGGATAAATTGTCTTAAATTATACCTGGAAACATCCTCGACAAATCGAAATCAGAATGTGATGCAACTGGTCATTCAAGAGCATGTATGATGGATTGCCTATAGCTTATCCTTTCAAACACGGACAGTGATGTTCTCAATAAAATATTCTTTCCGAATATTCCTACATTGTGTTTGCTAGAAGTCATAAGCTCCATTTCTCCAATCAAACTTAATAATATTTCTATTTTTCGATTCTTCAAACGATCTTGATCTGACTTCAAAGGGTTTCATACTCATACTAGTCGTGTGTCGTGGGCTATTCATAGGACACAGCTAAGAGATGATTGTTTTAATTCAGATGAATCCATAATTGATTTTGTTTTCAACGAAATCCTTTATTCAATTTGTTTTGCTTTTCCAGTAGGTATGCATTTAAGTGGGAGGTGCAACTGTTTTGTGCACATTGCGTAGGTCAAACAATTTTAGATTACCAGGTGCTGACTAACATCCCTAAATGGTATCGTGTAGGATACATTGATGAGCACATTCGTCCATGTTATTGTTACATTCATTCTAATTGAGCCCATAGCCACATTTAAATTAAAATTTGTGTTAGACGCAGTATAAAAATTGCCACTTATTTTTTAAAGCGATGAGTGAAGAGGACATTCATTAAATGTACAAAGAAGAGGAATGAGTAGAAACAGTGTAGAACATACAGTTCGGTATCGTTTCTCCAAATATTTTCAATAAGTGAAACGTTTTGCTAGTACCTATAAGTTCAAGATTGCAGAGCTGCCAGTCTTACCTTATCTGTAGAAATTATGGACGTCCGGAAGTGTCTGGCAGTGCTGGTTATTACGTTATAATAATGTTTTTCAGAGGCTTCTGATCATTTTCAGAGAAACTTTTGTAGCGGTCGGAGGTTGCGGGAGTATATACAGGGTGTTTCAAATTCGACACTCACCAGTGGGATCTCAGAAACTGAAGAGATATGAAGTCGCTTAAGCGGAAGCAAAGTTGCGTTTTTATTTAATCAACAAATCGCCGCTAAGAAAGTTTCGAAAATCAAAGTACTTCCGTAGAAACGGAAAAAACCGAATTTTCCCAAAATCGTTTTTATTTGTTCCTGACTTGATTTGTAGTGGGATTACAAAATAAATTGCAATTAAGATTGAAACTTTTTTCCCCTATAAAAACGGTACAATGAGAACTTCATTATGATGTTTCGTCTCTTGTCCGCCAGGAACAACTCTATTTTCCTCATGAACGCCATATTGGATTTTTACACAGATGAATAGAGTTGTTAATTGTGATACCAACAATATAGGTATAATATGTAGTACATTGACATTGCCAAACCTCAGTTATTTCGAAAAAAGCAGAATTTCCTAGGTAGGACTTGAAATTATCAGATACCAGATTTATCCCAAAATCACTTTTATGTTTTCCTGGCATTATTTAAGATGGGATTGCAAAATAAATTGCAAGTTGTTATCTTTACTTATTCTCCACTACAAGATGACATAGTACAAATTTCAATTCCACATTTCTTCTTTCAACTTCCATCACCAACTTTTTTTTCATGTGGACGCTGTATTGGAATTTTGTACATTTAGATGGACTTTTCAGTCCTAAATTCAGTGATATACAGGGTGGCCCATCCATGTGTGGAATATTACTCATAATCAAATACATTTTGGGAAAATCTATTTATGGGATGTTATACGTGACACTTGAGGGCACATTTCTAAAGTATTGGCCATTATACAGGGTGTGCCAATTTCGACCTACATATCAAAGTTGTGATTTTTCAAATGGAATGCCTCTAATTTTATTGCATATTTGGATAAGCCAATTCAAAAGAAGAAAATTGATATCACATACTATAGAGTTTTGGTTATTATCTACTGAGATATAAGGTGTTTTGTCTAGAAAAATCCCCCAATTCGGCAACCCCTCACTCCGCCATTTTGAAATTTGGAGTGCTGAGTTTTATATCTTAAAAAACTTACACACCTCAGCTTTTATCTTATTTGTTGCTTTTTCGAATTTTAGTTTTTGATCATACAGGGTGGTCAAAACCGCAAATTGTAGTTTTTAATATCAAATGTATATTTGTGCAAGATTGTATTCAATTTCTTATAAGCTTTTTTTTGATACTAGCCACATAAGAGTTTTACGGCTATTTTTCGGTTATTAGCACGTCTTTTATGGAACGGCTTAATTCCCTAAAATATCGCATCATCCTTGGGAACAAATGAATTGTTGATTAGTTACAAACTGTCAAAATTAGCTTTGTGAGCATTATAATAAAAATGTGTTTGGAAATAAATTTTATTTTATTTTATAAGCAACGGTACCCTAATATGCGACATCCAAGGCCGGAAACATTTTGATCACTACGAGAACGTTTTGAGTCAAGTGGAGCAGTGGAATATAGTAAAAAATGTATAAATAATCCAAGTGTCACAAATGAGGGGAATCAGTTGGAGGTTCTATTAAACTTCTGTCCAAAGGATTATTCACAAGCATAGGTACCATCCATATATCCCTTGTATCAAGGCCTTCTTCCTCAGGATTTCGCAGCTCGAATGGAGTTTAGTAGAATAATGCTAAATAAAATGAGTGAAGACACTAATTTCCTGGATAAGTTTCTTTTTAGCTATGAGGCAACTCTTAACAGCATAGGTGTTGCCAACAGGCATAACATGCACTATTATGCGACGGATAATCCTTACTGGTGTTAGGCAAATAGATTTCCAAAATAAATGGAGCTTGAATGTTGGGAGAGGAGTTATTGGCAGACAGGTTATCTTGCCTTTCTTTTTCGATAACTGATTAACAGGTACAGAATACTTGAATTTTTTGATCGAGCATTTGCCTTTGCTTTTGGAGGATATCAACCTGCAAACTCGGATGTATAGTTGGATCGGTCGTGATGGGCCTATTCTTGGCCTCCTAGATCACCCGATATGACACCGATGGACTTCTTTCTATGGGGCTACGTTAAGCAAGAGGTTTATATATATATATATATATACGCACCATCTACCCCAAAAAATGTGAAGGAATGGATTAAGGATGCTTTTCTGAACATAAGGGAACACTTGCTGAGGGATGTGCAACGGTCATTTATCCAAAGACTACGGCTGTGTATTCAATATGGAGGAGATATTTTCGAGCAGTTCTTGTAGATTAGGTCTTGAGTAGTGATAGTTGTTTGTTTATGTTGTTGTTATAGTTGTTTTTCTCTATCACGCTTGAAGCTGATTTATACTGTTCTGATTGTTATTAGTTATTACGTCAAATGTTTGTCTTTTGTTTCCATAATTTTGGTGTGCTGTTCTATTAAAAGCTTAATAACTCAAAATCTAGTGATTTTATCTGAATCAAACCTTATACCAAAAAAAGCTTATAAAAAATTGAATCCAAACTTGTACAAATGTACAGGGTGATGCATTTGAAATTTTTGAGAAATAATACAATTCGTGTTTTTGACCACCCTGTATGAGTAAAAATGAAAATTTGAAAAAGTGATAAATTCTGTGAAAGCTGAGGTGTGTAAGTTTCTTTTGATATAAAATTCAGCACTCCAAATTTCAATATTAGTATTTAGTAGCTAATTACCAAAACCCCATAGTACGTTATATCAATCTTCTTCTTTTGAATTGGTCTATCCAAATATGCAATAAAAGTTGAGGCATTCCATTTAAAAAATCACAACATCGATATGTAGATCAAAATTGGGACACCCTGTATACTTGCCAATATTTTAGAAATGTGCCCTCAAATGTGATGTATAACATGCCATAAATAGATTTTCCGTAAATGGATTTGTTCATGAGTAATATTCCGTCCACGCATGGATGGCCACCCTGTATATAGGTATCCTTATTTAGCCATGAGTTTGTTTTTCAATGAGACTTATAAGAAAATAAGAAGGTATGGATAAACCTGATTACAAACTGAAAATTTTTTGATGGATAAAAATAATAAACTTAAATAAGCAGATGTTCAAAATGTTGTTCATTATTTTGTAAGTAAAGCCTGACTCTTCTATGTACTTTGTACACTGCTCGATATATTTCTCTTCTGCTCACTTTTCCAAACTCTGTTACTATGTTCAATTTGAGGTCTGGTCTTGTATACGAAACAAATGAAATCTGATAATTTCAAGGCCTACCTAGGAACTTCTGTTTTTCTAGAGTAACTAAGGTCTGGCAATATCAATGTGTGGCATACTAAACATTTTTAGAATCATAATTAAGAACTCTATCCATCTACATAAAAATCCCATATAGCGTATATAAGAAAAAATAAAGTTGACGCTAGAGACAAGAGATGAAACGTCATATTGAAACTCTAATTATGCCATCTTGCACAGAAGAAAAAGTGGCAATCCTAAAGTGCAATAATTTATTTTGAAATCTCAGTACAAATAAAGTCAGGAAAACAAAGGCTAACGGATCCCAATGGTGAGATCGAATTTGAAACACCCTATATATATATATATATATATATATATATATATATATATATATATATACAATTAATTGTTAATTGGGAGATTGGCAAATTTTTAGGCCTAAGCTGACTCTTTTGACGATAAAGTCAAGCTTTCGGCATTCTCTATGGAGCCTTCATCAGGATTTCGTCGTTGAGGTTGCAGCCACAAGGTGTTTCCAAACGAACGTAGAGAAGATAGAACTAGTAATCAGTATAAAAACAAAAGCACGGGGACATTGGGCTTGTTGAAAACGACAGATACCTTCGTTACATGTTAAAAATATCAATCCACCCGAACAAATTAAAAATTATTACTCGTGAGAAGACATTTTAGTGAAACAATCGGAATGCAGTCTCTAGCCTTATGGCCCCACTCAACCTGCTACCGTCAAGCGTTACAGACGAATTTATTTTGCACTAGCAGCTACTTGCGACCTCGTATGATAGAAACTGTTACTGACAAAACATTGTCATAAGTTATGTTATATCACGTTTTGTGTCTTTGGTGGCATTATTGAGAGCCAACTTGCATGTTTGAGAAATTTGGTTGCTTTGCTAGTGACCCCATCTACAGGTTCCGCGGGTTAAAAAGCGGGGCATAAAGATAGTCCATTATACAGGGTGGGCCATGAATTAGTTAACATTTGAAAAAATCGTATGAAAAAAAACATTTGACATATTTTAGAAATTGTTTATTCACAAGAAAGCTAATTAGTTGGAATTCATTTCTTGAAAATTATATCATTTAACTGATCACCGTTACGATTTTTACACTCTTTCGGATATTCGTCGGCATAAAGACTGCGAGATCGCCGACATCTCTTCGTTGATGTTTTATTTTAGTTGACAGAGTGTACTTGGTTTATTGATGTAAACACGACTCTTTAAATAACCCCATAAAAAGTCTGGTTTGGATAGATCTGGACTTCTGGGTGGCCATGGGATCTCGCCTCGTCTGGAAGTGAGCTTTTCCGGAACATTTCTTTGACCACCGGCAGGGACTCGTTGGATGTGTCACACGTGGCTTCATCTTATTGATACCATGTGTTATGATTATAGATAGCAAATTCCAGTAGCATCGGTGCCAAGAACTCCCGTAACATTTTCACATACTCAGCAGAATTAACAGTAACTGAATGGCGGCGAGAATCTTCAAAGAAGTAGGGGCGAATGATTCCTTTTGCTGAAATTGCAGCCCATACAGTTACTTTAGGAGAGTAAAGTGGCTTCTCGTGTTTAGCTTTGGGATTTTCGCTGCACCAGTATCTGCAATTCTGTTTATTGACATGTCCGTTGACGTGGAAATGGGCTTCGTCAGAAAATAAGAGATTGTCAAAATTACTGAATCGAGCTAACATCCTTTCGGCATACGACTTGCGCCAATTTAAATCATTAGGTTTTAGTTGCTGCACTATCTGGATCTTATATGGATGTGATTTCAAATCTAATCTCAAAATACGGCGTGATGGATAATCCTAATTCAGCCGAACGTTTGCGCGTCGATAAATCTGGATCACGTTGGACAGAAGCGGAAACTTGCTGCACGTTCTTTTCGCTCTGAGCAGTCCGTGGGCCGCCGGTTTGCTTCACATTCAGTGCAGATCCCGTCTCTTCGAACTTCTTCATCAATTTCTTTATCAAAGGAGCACTATGACACTGACTTAAGTCGTCTAAATTGTATTCAATGCGAAATAAGCGTCTTACAATAGTGAGCGAACTGTAAGCGCGTTGCAGCCCCGTGAAGCGATCCATTGCGAGAAACGAGCTAGCGACTAGCGACTAGTCCCCTCCCCGCGCTTCGCGCTGCATCTGTTTGCGTAGTGTATTAGATTTAAATGTTTAACGAATTCTTGGCCCAATCTGTATATGTGCAAAATTCTCAAAAAAATTCAGACCTGTACTATTATTTGTTAACAGGTTACGATTGTAGAATGAAGAATTCACAAAAACATTGATAACATATTATTTTGTAGTGAATGAATCAGTCAAAAGAAAAGCATTAAAAATGAGGATGCCGCCAAATTAACAGTGGCGTACGATGTCTTTTGCTACTCTCTTCCATTTTGGGACCTCACTATTGCGAAGGGCTTAATGGTACTTACTTTCAAGAACACGCCCAGGACGCACAATCCATCTGGATGTTCAGCCGCCTCTGCAAATGACGAATATTTCGAGTTCCAGTGTACCAAGTGAAGCTAATAACAATTGATTTAAAGAGTAAGGATAATAGGATATTTGCTATCATATATAAATGCAATACAGTTTGCATGAACATGGGTATTTAAAATGAAAGCACTCAGATTCTTACAAAAAATGTTTGTAAGGGTATTCTTAGAAATCAAATATACTGCTTGCATAGACCTGAATTGAACGGAAATGAAATTTATACTGATATCTCAACTAATATTATAAATGCGAAAGTGTGTATGTATGTATGTATGTTTGTTCCATTTTCATGTCAAAACGACTAAGACGATTTTGATGAATTTTTGCATTGATGATCCTAAGGCGTTGTGCAGCAGTTGCAGTATATTTTGCACATAAATTGATACTTAGAATAAAAAACGTCAACAAAGAATTACAGAAATTATATTCTCAAGATGGGGTATGAAGGGTTTGTACTAAATTGGTAACTCTTGTTGTTCCACATACGAATTGTAGTAGAATAATGTGGCCTCAGTATTAAAAATATCATCACATCATTCATATACAGAACCTCACATTCCGCCAATTTTATACATTTTCAGCAACATACTAATTTAGTTTTGAATTCTCTTGCACGGTAAATTTAACCAATGTTATTTTGAATGTGAGGATTCAATTTCAAACTCCCTGTGCTTCTAATTTAAGTTCATTAATTATATTTCTTGCATACCTCAAAGTAAGGTACTACAAAGGGAGATATACTCGGCTGTCTTGTTGTTTCCATTCCTGAGTTGTGACCACCGAATAAGGTCAATCCAAAAATCACTGATTCTATGATTAATACAGCCGGACATATTAATATAACTAGTGAAACTTATCCTGTTGTTTTCATGTTTACAGGACTCTGTTGTCTGGCCCAAGAAACACAGAGTATGTTTAGGTTTCTGTTTATTGCACGACGTTTCGACCATCGATGTGATCTTTATCAACTATAGTGACAATACAGGGTGTAAAGTTAGTAGTGGATCAATGGAAGTCAGGTTAGAGGGCCTTAAAACCTATCGAATGAACCCCTATATGTGTAGTCCGAAATTTTATAGTCCAGGGGATAGCTGCAATTTTGTGAAATTTTGAAAAAACCGGATAATGCACTTCCAATCGCAATTACAACTAAACCTAGGGGGCTGCGATTTTTTTTCTGAGATGAGCTAAATGGCTAATTTTAGCAATGGTTGTGTCAGTTTTTAACAAAGCTAATTAGAAAACAACGCAAAAAATCTTAAATTTATTTTATTGTGAAAAATCTCTTCCATCCCTCATCTTTGGAGGGCGTTAAAAAATTGTGGTTGTACTTCATTATTCATTTTACTGTAAAAGCTATCTCAATCCATGTAGATTAAACCCTGAAAATTTCAGCTTACTACGATAAATGCTTCACCTTGAAAAATCTGTATGTTTGACGCAGGTGGGTATCTATACATGTAAAAAGGAAATTCTGCTTTACAGTCCAAACGACTTGATGGATTTTGACATATGAGGAACTGTTAGATTCATCCTAGTAGTGCGAGCGATACTGTGTGTATTAACATTTTGTAAAATCAAAATCGCGGATTTTTTACGAAAATAGCCAAATCAGCTTAATGAGCTTGGGCATTCAGCTCGGCATTCCAGGTGCGGGAGCGTTAAATATTCGGTCCGACCGAAATTACTAAGTCAGGCAATGGTCCAGCATGGAATTTGTTTGGCATCTGAGTAGAATCTTGTCATATTCTCCACAGATTATGCAGAAATGCATTACTATTATGGTGCTGCCCTAGAAAATGCTCGAGCAGCTGCTTGCATCTATCGGGTGTATGTAGTTAGAAGAGGTGAACTACAACCGGCGGTATATACCGACTACCGCGTTTTCCTACGCATTCATCATGAGTATATGCAGGGCCGCATACTAGGCACTCATCGTCAGCTAGGAGCGCCGAAGATACCCAGAAGAAATAGAGAATATAATAAAAGCAGCATATCCCATACTTCAGTGCACACAATACTACGCTCGAAGAACATGCATCCTTACCATGTACAAAAAGTACAAGAATAGCTTCCCACGAGTGGAATTTTGTGAGAATATGTACTAGCATCTTATGGACAGATGAATCCAACGTTAACCGAAATGGAATATGCAACATGAACAATTTCGATTCATGGAACGTGGAAAATACGCACGCTATTCATCGACACAGCTTTCAATGCCAGCATGAATGGTCAGTCATACCTTGCTTTTCTACAAAGCAGTTTGCATGAGCTGCTAGAGGATGTACCTTTGGACGCTCGAAGCCGCATGTATTTTCAATGCGATAGTGTATTGTAGTAAATACTGTATAGGGATGTGCAAAAGGAAAAAAGTAACCAAGTGTCACCTGGAAGACAGAAATCAAAATATATTGTCACATAATTGTCGGTTATATGTGAAAAATATCAAATCCACACGTCGTGCAATAAACAGAAATCTAAACATATATATGTCTACTTTGCACGGGATGTACGGCATTATTTAGAGAGTGCCTTTCCTGGGCGTTGGATAGGTACTCTACCTATACACATATACACATGTACACATACAATGGCCTCCAAGGTGACCCGATTTAAACCCTCTAGATTTTTTTATATGGTGATTTTATAAAGGGATAATCGATACATCTGAATATACAAATGTCAACCAACTGCGCCAGAAAATTGATGGAGCAAAAATAAAAATTATGGAAAACGCAAATTCATTCCAAAGACTAAAGGACAATTTTATTAGAACGTGTCGCTTGTGTATAGAAAATATTGGAGGCCATTTCGAACATATTCTTTGAAAGTTGGTTAAATCAGATTATCTTGCACATTTGTCGGTAAATCGCCCTAAAGGGCAGCTAAACATAATAGGTTCTGTACTTGTAGGTGGTAAGGATTCTATTGCGTTTCTTACGTTTATCGCATCACAACAACGAATGTGATGGTACACTCATCGTAGCAAACTGAAATTTTTAGCGTTTATTCTAGATGGATTGAAATAGTTTTTAATCAATAATGAAATATTACCTCAATTTTTTTACCGCCTTCAAAGTTAATGGATGGAAGAGATTTTTCACTCAAAAAAAAAATTTAAGATTGTTTGCGTTGATTTCTAATAAACTCTGTTTAAAAGTGACATAACCATTGCTATAACCATTTAGCTCATATCAGAAAAAAATCACAGCCCTATTGTTGTAAAGCGCCGGTTAATTGCTATGTAATCTTTGACTAAGTGCATTGTTTATGGATCTGAAAGGTGATTTTGGGCCTTGCTGGCTTTGTACGGTGCCATCTCAAAATTGCAATGATGGAATCGCGCAATTTCAGCAACCGTTCAGGCTATTGTAGTAAAATACTATATAGGGATGTGCAAAACGAAAAAAGTAGGGAAGTTTCACCTGGACGACAGAAATCAAAATATATTGTCATATAATTGTCGGTTATATGTGAAAAATATCAAATCCAAACGTCGTGCAATAAACAGAAATCTAAATATATATTATCTGGTTTTGTTTCGGTCAGACAATGCAGTCCTAGAGCCTGACAAATTATTTACTTTGGACTTCATGAGTTAGCTTGACTAGTTTGACAGCTGACGGCCCAGAGTCCTGCCGTCTCGTCTCCCATTTATTGGAAGCAACGTGGTGGACGAGTATACCTCCAGTCTATTGAACCCTGCTCTAAACAAGCAGATAGCACAGTATAATGTAGAATGGAATTTTACTAATACGTACCTCTCCGGCAAATCTTTGACCGTCTATTGTATGTTCTGATCCTTCATCATCTTTTTCCCCCCAATGACAATGGAACTGTTCCAAAACGTATGTACCTTCAAGTGGTCCACCAGCTAGTTCTGCAGAGTCAAATGATGATATCAGATTCAGGCATTGATTAACATACTCTAACCCAAGATAGGCAACCATATATTATTTTCTGTAATTCTAAAATTAATTTGAAAAACACTACAGCGACAGTAGCAGAACATAATAATGAATTTAGAAATCTACTTTGAAAAGAAATGGAGCGTTTGGTTCGTATGTGTCACAGATGGTGCCAGGATGTTAGATCCTTTTATGACCTATCGACTCTATTTCAATTGAAGTATTTTTGCGCCTTGTTTAACGGATTCCAGCTGAAGATACCCATTAATATAGGCATTGGAGAGGCCAGCAAGGGATTGTAGATCCTACCGCTATTTACTAGGCAGTGGTAGAACCAAACACCCTAACTTTGGATTTGTAAATTCATTTTTGTGTTCTGCTACGGTTTCATAGATTGCGCTAGTATCTGCTAGATTCCCTCTTGGATGCTGGAATACATTATATAGTTGGCTATCTATAGGTATAATACGTTAATCAATGATTTAGATGAATTTCTTATTTTTTCTATAACTGTCCAACTTTGCTTTCGGTGATTGTTGGTCTACTCCTTCTATGGCTAGTAATCACCGTAGATTTTTGATTATCCTTCTTCCAAGTCAGGTCGTAGAATTAGGTGCCTATTTACTTATATTTTAAAGATATCTAGTGCATTTTAAGTTCAAGGTTAGATCGAAAAAAGTATACTAAATCCCCAAATACTGACGATTTCAAAAGAGTTGCTATTACCTGATCCTTTGCCATTGACGTGAACCTTCCACGATGTTCCTGTATTGAACAGTTCCTCACACTGTTCTGGTATGTATTTCCATTGAAGGTTCTTGTTCATCTTCAATGTTTTCAAATTTACGGGCTGAATATCAATCGGGCTTTGTTTCTCGCCTGCTGCCTGTGGGTACTGTATGGGCCAAGTTTCTGGACCTGCACGAGGAAAAAAGCATTAAAGGATTTAATATTTTCTACCACAAGCCCCCTCGGCATAGAGGCCTGGACTACATTAATGAGGTAATAGAAAGTTTTTAGTGCTACAAAAATAACGTTTCGTTGAGTCTTTCGTTGCGTCATTTTTGACACACACGGCAAAAAACGAATACAGGTGAAAACAGAATTTTTATGACCACTTTAGTGAACCGTGGTATTTCTACAGTACTGACTACTGACACTCATGACAGGTTGTTTATTTTTACTTTCCATGCCTATTGGTAGGCAAATGTAATTCAATAATGAGATATTACGTTTTTTGGATGCTGTCGGTCTGTCTGTCTGTCGATATGTTGGTCTGTCCTATAACTTGAGACGTACCGCTCGGATTTCGATTTTTACACAACGTTACTACTATGCCAAGAATGCAAAAGCTTTGTAGTTTTTGGAAGTCGGTCCAGTGGTGTCATAGAAAAAGGCCAAAAACAAACAAAAATCGCTCAAACTTTTTGACGTTTTAGATGGTCCTCATCATTTTTCGAATTTTTTTTGTTGGGGTTGCAATTTGGGGTTGGGTGTTGTAGGGTGTTGTAGGAGGCTATATGGATTTTTTTGATCTTAGTATATTTATACACTCCCACTTCTGGTTATTCTATGCACCTGTTAGGTATATTTCACAGATCATAGATTTACCCGTAAATTTGCCTTTAAAACTTAGAATGGCAGAGAAATCTTTTCGATCTGCGTATTCCTGCCTATCTAAGCCCACAGCTTGGCGAATCGGTCTGGCTCATACATCTACCATATAACAAATATGTAAAAAGGAGCTATTATAATCAGGTATCAAACATTGTTGACAAACAGTCTTACATCAGAGACAGATCTTCAAAGAAATGATGCTACCGTGTATGGACATGCTCATTGCTGCAACCTGAGGTATCATCAACAGATCAAACTGGTTTTGATATTTCTTGGAAAATTGTAGTCGAAGTTGTTTTGGCGTAGCAAATATAGAATGAATCTACTTGACGCCATTTAACATTTACAAAATACTCCAATAAATTCGACACAGGCTGTCGACATTGTAGTTTTATCTTTAGATATTGCCATGTCTTGTATCGAAGACCAACAAAGGTTAAACTCGGATCACATGCCCACCACAAGCAAGTGCTATTTCTGTTTTATTGCCACAAGAAAGGTTTGTGAAATTCTTCATTGGCTTTGCAAAGTTTGACAAATTTGTTCAACGTTGCTATAGTCACAAACTGTGACGTAAACTGGGCTCATCCAAAAAAGACGAAAGCTTTATGATACAAAAGTGTCGAGGACTATAATGGTTCGACGACATATTATATGTATACGCAAATGATATTTTTGAAATGATAAATGTAGCAGTTATTATTGTACGCGTTCTATTTTTACATACATTTACATTTTATGTATCGAATCAGTGACCTGTTTCCTTCACATTTTTGTGAAAAATGTCTATTTCAACCCACCGATCTTACGATAAGCAACGTTAAGCAACATGAACATGTAGCTTATTCTGTGATTTTTATGCTGATAATCCTCCATGGCTGCTAAATGAAATCACATATGTTTGAAAAACTGTTTACTGATGACTACGTTTCAGCCACAACGGTGGCTTTCCATAATAATATACATACTAGCAGTATCTTAAATGACACACTTGACACCTTGAAGGTGAAGGTCACGGTTAAAACTAAGGTCAGTGTTAACTTCCGCGTTGAAATTTACTGAAGCCCTGACCTTGATAGTTATTTTCATCACTCATCCTGTGAGATTTAGGTACAAAGGTTTTCCTAGCAGGACACATTTGATATTAATTTGACCTTTAGTTGTCATCCTGACCTTGGACTTCAATTGTGTTTAAACGTAAAATTTTCCGTTCTTCCAATTGCTGGCATCATAGGGGTTTTTAGTTGACAATGAATTAAATCTGAAGGTGAAAATCAAGGTCAAATTCAAGGTCACCGTTGAGTTCCGTGCTGGAAGCTACTGAAGATCTAACCTTGATCTTTCCGAAAAATACCTTACCCAAGAAAATACAGAGCCGGTCCAAGACTTCTGTGTCACTTCTTCCTATAGGAATGAGGTAAATAATGACGATTTCTCAGGTTGGCAGACAAAAACAATTTATCAAAGTTATTACCAAGCTGTCACCTAAATTTTTTAGTGACCCTCTATTGGTATAGTATTGTGGATGAATTTCGACGTAAGGCTAAATTTGGGACTAAATTAGAGTACCTAATCAAGGTATCACGTCAAAGTTCGAAATACCATTCGTTGTCGAACTTTAACGGCGTTCATTTCAAGTTCACAAGACTATCAAAGCTTACCCAATTAGGCCGACTACGGCGCAATTTGGCTAATCACTGCTAGGTTCAACCACGTTTTGAACTTTGACTAGAACAAACTTTCAAAACGCTCTCATGGGCAAACAAATGATTATTGAAATATATACCTTGGACTTTACAACCGCAACTGAGGCATTTTGAATTGAGAAGCGTTCTAAGGGAATGACGCGAATGGGAGTGACACATCTTCACCGCAACATAAAAGTGTTATGAATAATAGATTTTATGAGTATATTGTTCTTTTCGGAGACAAACATGTACATGCAAATTTTCCGTACGTAATCCAATGCAATTTAAGTTATGTAATACACACTGTTCTTAAATATGCAGGTCATATAAAACACTCAGAAATATCATACAATGCATTGTCGGTACAGAAGTTTTTGAATTTTTAACTGATGAAACCGCTTTAATGTTCTTGAAATATTAGCAAATCCTTCACATCTTCGAAATAACTATACAATAATAATACTAATAAAAAGGAAGCGTCTACTGTTACATTTATCATTTCAAAAACAACTCAGTCATACGCAATATCTCTTTGAACGTTCCCATTCCACGGTATGTTTGTTTCATAAACGTTTCATCGTAGTTTTCTGGTAGTTTTCCCCATTTGTAACTATTGAACGTTTGCCATCATGCCATTTTTCATCCATTGCTTACCGGATAAATATTTGTATAACCGATAAATTCCGCTGAAAACTCCCTGCGGGTTCCAATTGCTCGCGACGATCGTTATCATGTTTTTTACATTCTGTGATCTTGATGACTGGAATTTTTCATATTGGGTTATTCTGAACTGTCTTTTGGACAATGACAAAGGGCGAACGTCGAAAGCTTGACATAGTGTTACAGCTAGCTACAGTTGGATATGCATGTTGCCGCCCAACATTGCGTGGAATAGTTATTTACCTAACAAGTGCGGAAAGTGACACTTTTCCGCACCTGACGGCAGCGGAGTTCGGGCAAGCAGTCAAGGGTGGAAAGTACACTTCAAGCAACTGTTAGGTATAAGATTTTTTCTAACAGCGTGGCGAAAGTATTCACAGTCAACACGCAGAAACTAGCACTTGTGCGGTAAAGTGGTACTTTCCACATGCTGGTAGAAAAAAATTATTTAAACAATTCTTCAAATTCCAAAACAACGTTTTTAGTCTATAGCAAAGTTTTTTCAGGCTTAGGTTACTAATAACTATATTCTTACTTCGAGATTCTGTTAGTGATTGTTTGAAAAACGTTCAGGACCCAGCATTAATTTTTTTTTTGTGGTTTGGGGTCGAAACTTGCACAATTCAAGTCGCCGATATCTCGAAAACTACCATTTTTAGAGAAAATTTCATAAGAATCTTTCCTGACCAGAAAAGCCTGATGAAACATTGTTCGGAGCAAATAAACCAATGAGACATTTACTTATTTAAAGATATTGAACAATCACTGACGCAATTTTGGGCCTGACATGTAGATTCCCTAAAAGTTGCTGCAAAAACTTAATCAGAATGTGAAGATTCTCCCGGACTAACAGTGCAAGAGATGCGCGCAGCATGTATACTATGAAGCATTCCATTTAGCTCAGGCTACAGAGAAAAAAATAGGTATTTCGTGTAAATATACTAAGTGACATCCGAACACCCAGTTTAAATGGTTTTATTTTAATAAAAGTTGGTGAATGTATTTACCTTACTGTAAATAACAAGTGAAAAATTTTCAGCCTTATCAGTTGGACATTCCGGTTTTTATACTGCTTTTTTTTAATTCACTAACGCTCTAAAAATGAATATTTCAGCCGCAGTAAAGAATCAACGTTGGCGGATTTTGGTTCTTGACATCCTTTACGATCGGTTACGATGCCTAGAGTACGGAGACCTGTACGATTTCGTCAACTTAGTGAGTTTGATAGGGGCCGTATAGTGGGACTTCGGGAAGCTGGACTTTCTTTTCGGGCAATTGCAGTTAGAGTGCAAAGAAGTGTAGACACTGTGGTTAGGTGTTGTCAGGCATGGCTTCGAGAAGGCCGTACGCAAAGAGCAAGGGGCACTGGACGCCGCCGTAGAACAACAGACCGTGAAGATCGCCGCCTAAGATTATTGGCCTTAAGGGACCGTTTCTCCACTACCAGGTCCATTGCAAAGAATTTTTTATAGCACTTACAATAACCCCGTTATTTTTCAATATAATTTATCTTAACAAGTTGATCTGGATAGGTGGTTATAAAACGCATATTTTAAAAAACTTCCTACGACCAATAGGAGCCAAGATGAATTTTTTTTAATTCATATCTTCTTTATAAACATTAAGACTCAAAATTTTTTCAGATTTCTCAAATTTCTCCAATTTATAATTTTACTATTAGTTCAAAGGTTTTCAAGAAATAGCCACCTGAAGTGAAGGTGCTCGCGAAAGTATTTCCGGGTAAGGTGGTGGGGGAACCAGCTCTAGCACGAATTATTTTTTGAAATTGAGTCGCCAAATCGGAGCGCCCTGTAAAATTTTGCATCATCTTGGCTTCTAAGCAACGTAGATCCCGAAAATCTCGGAAAACTTGACACGTTGTATTCTTCAAAATAAAATTACTATGTAAGAATAATAAATTAACCACAAATCATTTACTTTTACTGTCAATCTAATAAAATAAGTAATATTTTATAATAAAATGATTTAATAATTTATAATTCAAAATACGCCCTAATAAATTGAAAAAAATATTGATTCACATTTGTCTTTCATTTATATTTATCTTATTTGCATTCTCTGTGTTATAATAATATTATTAATAGTGCATGTTTAAATTATAAAATATTATTTAATTAATCTTGATCCTTCATTCTAAATATTTTATTTGGACGGTCTACTTCTTCTTCAATGTTTGTATAACTCATTTCTTCAAATAAGTCGTCGATTTTCTCAGTCTGCTCTTCATCATAGTCAATTCCAACTTCAGCAAGGTTTGTTGTATTTTGTGTCATCATCACGATCATTACAATTAATACACACAGATGTGAAATTTAACTCGTCTTTTTTGCAACTACACCTACCCGTTTGGCAATCAGTAGTACATTTGCAGGTAATTGTTTTGATTGTATCGTCTGATATTAAACTGGCCGTAGTATAGATCGGTTCGAAAACTTCGCCTCCACCCGTACTTGGTTGGATCTAATTTATTGCTTATCCATGTTTGTAAATGGTAATATACCCATAGAAGTTTTTTTAATATGCAGTTTTTGACTACCTATCCAGATCAACTTGTTAAAATAAATTATATTGAGAAATAACGATGTGGACTATTTTTTAAAACCTTCAAGAATCCATTTCACTTTTGTTAAATGTTCTAGGACCATACCTTGGGCAAGAACAGTTGTTTACATAATTCGTTTCTGGGAAGAACAATTAGCTTTTTACATAAACTATCAAATCGATCCGGCTGAAATTTACCACACTTAGTACATCAATGATGCTCTCATTCTCACAAATTTCTAGCTACCTACAATTGTTATTGCAATAGTTATAAACAATTATTCAATATTGCTAAGAAGGCCCGTATTCAGCTTAATTGTTTATCGATTTTAATTCTTGAAAACAAAATTGGATGCCTATTTATGCTCTAAGATCTCCAGTTTACCGATTATTCGTTAAATTCAGATTGAAAATTATACAAGCAAAATACTGAGTTTTGGGATTTTCCCATAGTTTATAAAAAAACAAGGCATACCTGGCTGTGTCATTAGAAAGACCCCCTCCCCTTCCCATTTAAAATTTTCACATATCTGCTAAACTTTTCTCCACCTTTTTTTAACTAGCCTGGACTAATTGTAAATATTGTATTGGTGCCAGCGAAGCGAGACACTAACAAGCAGAAGAAGTTCTTCAATGATAAATACGCGGGTAGAAATCAAAAAGATTTCAAAACGTCCCAGACAATGATTACCAAAAATTTTGAAACGTCGGGATACAACTGTATTTTTATGCTTTTCAAATAAATTACTGTATCTCAGAAGCAGGCTAGTTTAAGTCGAAATAAGTAGTGTTGAGATAATTGGGTTTGAAATATTCCTGTACTGTATTGTACCCGAATTAACACACTTTATAAAATCGTTTCTTATTATTAAAGGTAGGTGGATGCTGCAAGCTGCAAATGAGTATTAACAATATTAACGAGCTTAACATATAAAACTCATTTTAGGCAAAAATGGGCTTAGCCTAGTCTGACCCTGAGGTACAGATTAGTATTTTTGTGATAGTGTGGCAGCTTAAACATGTCATAGGGTCAGTCTACTTTAACTCAAGTTGTAAGACATTTGAATATTAGTCTATCGTTAGGCAGTCTGTATGAACAGAAGTTTAAAAATGCCTTCAGAATGTTCATGATGGGTGTTACCAAGATATTTGGTGTTCATTTCGCATAAACATTGCCCAATTACGAGTTTGGAAGAAGTTGTTACTTGATGTTATCTTTACAAGCCTATCGAATTTCTATAAAAAATACGCCGTTGGACTCATTTCCGTTATTGTAACTCCCGTAATTTGTGCATTATTCTAACATTGTCGCTGTTATCAATTGATATAAATCTGTATTAGCGAGATAGTAAAAAAAAGGAAACAAACACCCAGAAGCTGTATGTACCTACTATACACAGTTCTCGAATCTCTTTGAACGAATGATTTTTTTAAATGATGAATATCATTGAAGAAGTAAGAATATGATAATTTTTGAAGTTCCTGACGATTTCAGTGTGGAGTCAATTTATCTACGAAACAAAGGCACAAAATATCATTTTTTAATTCAGATACATCTTCTCATCTTTCTTCAATTCTTGGTAGCCGGATATTTAAGAAATCCTCATATTGATGCTTCTCAGGAACCTACAATGTCAAGATTATGATCACTTCGCTGTCAAAAAAAAAGTTAGAAAATGCGATATTCTAATGTTCTCTTCAAGATGGGCAGAAGTTGGGGAGTGTAATTCATGTAACTTTGTAGTAAGAGTTTAAATCGTGCATAATATGTATCTGGAAATTCTGGATTATACTGTAGAATGTGAACAGTTTTTAGGTTTTTTATTCGATCATTCTTTGTGTAAAGAAAAACAAAATTACCAATAGATTTGTCGTTTGATCCTTTGTACTTTTATTGCGATGCATCTGTTACAAATTACAGAACATATTAGTTTCACGGTGCACTTGTTATTTTGCATACTAAAACTAACAATAACAATAGCAACCGCAAACTAATGCTCTATTATCTCATAAGGACAAGATTGTTGCAATATACGTAAATCCGTGTATCAAAAAGCCACAAAACGCTTAATGAATCAAAGCAGTATGCATACGTCTATTTTCTATAATTTGCATTGTTACCTAACTCCGAAAGAATTTACTGTCCACTGGATGGTACTTTGCAAACCTTGACATACAATAAGTACATGGGGTCCCGAAGTCCAGTAAAGTATAACGTTGTTATACAATTTTTATTTTGTTATTACCATTTTGAAGGCATTGATTAACGTATTCCACCTGAAAATACCCAAATAAAATGAGACGCCAAAAAGGGATTGAAGATGCTAGTAGATTTCTGCTACTGTTTCAGAGATGCTGCTAGCAGTTTCCAGATTGCTGTTTGGGTGCCTGAATACAGTGTATGGTTGGCTATCTTCGGGTATCATACGTTAATGCTAAAATTGACCGTTTTCGAGATAAAATGATTATAATCTGAAGACCTTGAGCAATGCCAATCCTCAAAAACTGTTAAAAGCTATTATTTTTTGAGGTTAGTTTATTTTTAATCAACTAAATAACAATGATTTGAAATGATCTAAGCTAAAAGTACTTTTCGGGATCTTGTACAGGAAGGTTTAAATTTCAAACCTGAAAAATAGTAATTCGAAACCGCATGTTTCAAGTTTGAGAATCGCTATATATCTATAGGGTTTTTCCAACTGTAGAGAATAATTATTAAGAACCTTTTTTGTTCATAATGAATAGAAAAACCTAAAAATACTTTGTCCGGAGCGACAAAAACAATTACGCAGTTTGTTAAAAGAGAGACTATGAAAAAAACAAGTTGTAAGAATTATCTCACTAATGCGAGCTTTTCGTCTCGTCTAAGAACCAGTACTATTGAAAACACCAAAATTTTGAAAATCTTTGACATCCAAGATTACAAAATAAGATTTTCACTTACCATTATGTGAGTCATATCCCCATTCAACTGAGGCGGCAGACATTCTGAAAAGATGAGCAAAGATTACAAAACACGTGGGCTCATATCGCTTGTGTTAATTTCCCTCTCAAAACACCAAAAATGTAAGTTAGTTATTATTCAAATCTTTATGCTCTTGCCAATGTGTTTATAGTGCAGATTATTGCAGTTTGAAATGATCATCAAAATGTTTATCTGGGTGTTCAACTTATCTTTAAACCAGTGTGCATGGATCATTTAATTGAAAAAGTGCAAAATTTATTGTAAACATTAGTTGAGATAGAATTATAATTAATTTAGCGCATCTTCAATGGACAATATAGTATATGTATGGTCATCTTCACTTACATGAAAAACAATCAGATTGCTTCAAAATTTTGGCCTCGCCAAGGTCACTGAGCCCGATCAGTTCACCTTGCGGAAATATTGTTGCGCAATTTGCTTTTTAGAAAAACATCTTAACCGAAAGTGAGACCAGATGCGTCGCTGCAATATCCCTGTATTGTAAACAAAGCTTGAGGTTACACACCCCCTCCCCGTTTTTTGTGAACTGTCCATTTATTCATCCCAAACTTTTCAAAACAGTGGGAACAAGTTTGGGAACTGGGAGGCTTTGGAACTGAAGGATATCAACCTTCGGTCTTCATTTTTTTACGATGATAAAGTATTTTGAGGGTCTCTAAAATGAGAAGCACTGTATCATCTCTTTTCTCACCTGTTAGATATCAATAACTGTAACAGATTTTGTGTATGAATTCTTTAAACTCATAGATGGTGACCTCAAATATTCAAAATCTATTTTTAAAATTGCAGTAGTGATTTGTATATTTCGTTTCGTAAGTCTTTTGTGATCTTCCTAGTGAGATACATATTTAATATTTATCACCTTCCTCTAATATGCAGCTACAACAGTAAAATAATATGTACTTTCTCCAGAAAAGCACGCTCATGACATTTCCAAGCTCTTTAAGGGATAAACAACGTTTGCAACCCTAGAAGTTGAAAATGCAAAACTGTGTGAATTTTCTTAGATAAGTACGAAAAAGCAAGTTGCTGTTCTTTGGACACCAAACGACATTCCTTTAAATATTATATTCTTACGTTATGTTGAACATTTGTGACTTCGAAAAAGGACACACCACCACATTGTGAGTACCAAGACCCCCCGAGACCTATCGACCCCACCCAAACTCGGGTCCTATATACGCCGCTGCCTTGTGCCACTTAGAAAAATACATAGAGCATTGACCCCTCTAAATTAGCGAAATGAGCTAAAGTGCTGAATTAATCAATGGTGCAGTGCATTATCACCATCCGAAAGCAGCATGCAAAAACAGCATTTAATCGAATTGTACCACTAAAAAGGAAGATCCACTTAAACGGTCGTTTAAGCTATTGATGATATAGATCGCAAGCATGCATGATTGCATCCAATCAGCTATGCATTTATACACAAATTGGCCTTCCTCATTTTCCTAACACGCGTAAATCAGATTATTTTTAGTTAAGAGACAATGTTACATTGTGTTCTGTAAATGGAAGCGGATGTTCCGACGCGCTATGCATTTTCAGGTATCGTCAAGTAAGTTAACTCTGTATTTTGTCAGAAATAATACGAATTGTTGTTGAAGAACATTCTAAATTGTGGAAACCACTTAAATATACACAAGACCTACATTTTAAATGGTAAGTGGAAGTAAACATGATGCTTTCGTCCGTTCGACCAAAAAGACAGCCAACCATGGCTAGCTGTTTCGTGCCTCTTAGCTACTCATCAGCATGATCTAGGTTTTGTCTCTTGTCTGTGAACAAACGAACGAAAGCATCGCAACTATCCTCTATACCGGAGTTATGGTCTATCTTCCACAGTGGTCGATTCTGGTGTGATAGATGGCGCTTTACGCTGTCTTATTGGGACGTGTAAGCCTGCGATTCGTCATTCAAAAGGTGTATAAGCGGTGTCTTCGGCTCTGAAGATAACAAGGTTTTGGATTTTTTTGTATTGTAAACCTTCGTCAACATGTTTTCTTTCATTTTGGTACCTGACATTTTTTTCAGAAGTGCAAAGTTTGCAATTTTGGCATTTTTATCTAAAGTTAATCAGTTTCACATCAAATTAGGTCAAAAAGCTGAAGTCTCAATATAATTGTGTATTGATTTCTTTCAACTTTCATAGTTATTGTAAAGGCACTGGTCTAACATTTTCATTTTTATATAGTATGTTTTGCGTCTTAGTGCGTGTTATTATAGGTTTGAAGTAGAGAGTGTCGCACCCATGCGCTGATGTAAAAATACTAAGTTAAATATTCGAAATTGGGTGAATCGTCGTCAAAAGACACAGAATTGCAAACAATCGGGCACTAAACTAGAAACAAAAATATTGATGAAAGCTCAAAATGCATACGCTCAACTATTAATTTAAGTTATTTTCAAAAACTACGCTTTTGGACCGTAATCCTTCATTGTCCTTCCAATAGTCCTATTTTATGAAAATTTACTACAAATATGTGTTATTAAAAAATATTATTTGATGAACTTCTTCACGAACGTGAAAATCAAAGAGCCAAGGCAGATTATTTTGAACATCTACTATTTTATGATACTGTTTCCATCTATAATAAAATATTCGGAGTGAACTGTTTATTAAAGTTCATAATCGGCTAAAGGGGTCCTATAGTAGATGTTATATAATTTTTCCTGAAAGTTAAATTGCGCAATAGACCTGAAGAAACAACAGAAGTTAGTTCTTATCCCCGTAGATCAAATACGTTACTTCGATACTAGTCTCTTCGGATTTTGGCATATAATCTTCAACGAGTCATGCACTTTACACAAAAAGCAGACGTTTCGACATTCAACTGATACCTTCCTCAGGGCTACCATTTGCGACAAATAAATCTTAGCAAAATAAAATAAATCAAAATAAAGTTGTCTGTTAATGAATTTAATTTAATGAAATTAATTATGGATATATGAAGGTGTTGGATACACAAGCAAAAGAAAAAAATGAATGTATTAAGTTTGAACATATTTGTATATTTTAATCAATTATATTTGGATTTTTTTAGTTGTTCAAGTTTATTTTTCGTATTTTGTAGCCCTGAGGAAGACATCAAATAAATGCCAAAACGTCTGTTTTTTGAGTGAAGTGCAACACTGAACTTTATAGGTATTGCATCCCAAAATTCGAAAATTAATACTAGTAACGTACCTGAAAAAAGTGTAAAGTGCTTTAAGGCCGAACCGTCCCTTAAAGCATACCCCTAGTCTCATTGGTTGGAAAAATCAAAACTTTAGCTTTGAGTCTTATCTAGGTTAATTTTGTATCTGAAAGTTCTTAGGGAAGATCCTTACTTTCGCGTTATAAATATAAATTCCACGTTATTATTTTAGTGCTATGAAATTCTACTGTAGAAGTTCAGTTGGTCCCAAAAAGACTATGAATATCAAATTAAATAAATTACTTACAAATCTTTTTATTTGATAAGTATGTTAATGGTATAATAGCAGTAATTTCCATAAATTATGCTCTACTAGATACTTGATTTTAGCCAAGGATTTGCTGGGATCACAGCAACTACTTACAAAAGCCGAGAAGAATTCGAGCGAGGTGTCTGTTTCACTGTTTCCAATATAATCTTTCCATATTTTACACTTTCTGAAATCACGTGTTGTTCATGTGCTGTGCCTTTAATAAATATTTGCTTTCGTTTCTTTGTCTTGTTTAATTTATCCCTGTTTATGAACAATAACTGAGCGATTCACATTGCATCACAAATAGTATTTCTCTCCTGCTGAACAGTACGATTAGCTTCTTGATTATTTTCTCCTAAGAAAAAAAAAATTACGTCCATGTATCGATTTGTCAGGTTGATAGGGACTCGTGGGCAAATTAGCCTAGAGCATCCATTGAGAATATACTATTTTGGGGACAAACAATGCAATGTAATCTTTTATAAACACCCGATATTCTCGGAATTATAAACAGAATAAGTCTATAGGTACCTATGACTTCAACCTGAGTTTTAGTGTTATTTGAATACAACAGTCTATTCAAATATTCAACGATACTCATTAATTTTTATCCATCTCATCCACTTAACACACAATGGACATGTGGAACAATAACCTACGTTGATAAATAATTAAAGTTGACCGAAAAATTCGTTATTAATATTACTGGTCAAGTAAGTAGGTCGATGCATTTTAAGAAAGTTTTTAATACAAAACGGAAAAAGCGCATTTATATCTGTAATATTTATGACGAAATTAGCTCTCGCTTTATATTCGTTTTTGGAAGGCAATTTTACAGACTAGTTACGATTTTAATTGTCCACTGGTTAGAATGAGGATAAGGTGAATTAGTAATGACCGATAATAAAAATTAGTGATTAAACATGATATAATTACCTTCGTTATCTACTAGCTTTTGTATGTGTGTAAATTTCAATGCTAAGCCCATAAAACTTGATTCGTTTCTTAATACGTTACAACTCAAGGGAGTGAAAATTGGAATAAATGAAAATACTGTCTCGATAATGCATATCCAGTAATCCGTGATTTGGGATTGCAATTTGTACCTTTTATGAACCGTATGAACAGTGAGGAGTAGCAAAGTTTCTCGGTTACTATTGCTTGCTTTGAATATATATTCATGTTGGAGATATTTATCATCCATTATTTTTTCATAACGAGCATATCATCTGTTGGGAAATGAATGCAGGGAATGTGCAACAATTATACAACGGTTATAGTTCTTTTCGCGGTCTTTAGCGGGTCATATAAAGCTATAGGAATTATTTTCATACATCCATCTCCCTCACACATACAAGCTCACAGAAATACGTTTTTAATTTATTATGCTTGTCACTGTCAGTATGGCAAGTTGCTCGTTGAAGGAGCACGATTTGAGTTTACCTCTCGTTGATTTACACAGCAAAACCTGAAAAAAAACTGCAATGTCGACAGTATACGTAAAATTTTTCAAGAAGTTAATTAAAACAGAGCTCCTCTATTACATAAAAACCAAATGGCGATTGAGTTGATGATCGGCTTGCTGAGAAATAAATTTGAATGCACCAATTAAAATTTGAATTAGGCCAAATAAAAAATTAAGATAACTATGTGACAACTAATAAGTTCAATTAACAAAATTAAATTCTGATTTCTAAAATAGTATACTTTAATCTATGAAACTAGTTTAATTAAGAAAAACGCAATCCTGAATTTTATCAACAGAATTTATTCGAACATTATCTGTGTTCAGACCTGTAAGTGTTCAGGAGATCTTAGATATTTTTGTCTCTATAAAGTCGACTGCAATAGGCTGTGATGGTATTCGTGTGGACATCTTTGGTCTTTGTTTACCTAATTACTTCAGTATCTAACTGATATTGTTAATATATGCTTGGAAACTGGGAGCTTTCCTTATGACTGGAAAGAAGCAATAATTATTCTTCCTCTAGCCAAAGTAAGAAATCCCATAACTCCTGATCA